AAGGGGGGTGGAAGGGAGAGGAAGGAAAGGAGGTACGTACACCGTCCGATACAGAAGTAGAACGTGGCGTAGATCAGGCTCTTGGGCGAGGCGATCAACTGATGGGTGCCAACGTCAGAAACCAAGTGTCAGAAAGAAAGAAAGGAAACGTCAGCGTCAGAATACACTTCTGACAGAGAAGGAGAAGGGGGACTCGACGTACGGCGATCAGGGACGCGATGGCGCAGCATCTGTCGGCGGCTCGTCGTCAGCTTTGAATTTGAGAAGACGGAGGGAGTGTGAAGGTAGAGGTTACGAACGTCGTCAGTCTAGATTTTTTTAAAAAAAAGACGACGTCAGGAAATCGTATTCTGTCCTAGCGAAGATGCATGCTCACACTCCGGTGTTCACGACGAAGATGATCTAGGCGCAACACCAACACTGGTTAGCACACACTCGCGACAAACGACTATCGAAAAACAAGCCGTGAGCTTGCGGACCCACCAGCTTCGTGATAATAGTATCCGACTTCCTGAACCCCGTGCGCGCGTTATGCAGCATGATGCACAGGCTCGCGGCGATGGCGACGTCGACGGCGGTCGAGAGGGCGTTGATGGTGATAGTCAGTGGCTGTCAAACGCATCCACACACGCCCGTTAGCTAGGCCGAGGGTGAATTTGTGCACGAGATGAGACGCACAGAGATCTTGAGCAGGTCGTCGTACGTCTCCATCTGCATTCTGTAAAGCGGAAGGCGTTGTTAGCCAGAGAGACTAGAGAAGAGGGAGGATAGACATAGTCACGTACGACAAGATGACCCAAGCTGCGTTCGAGGTCCTTTAGTTAACACACTCGCTGAACGGCTTAGAGCGTATGTTTGCCTGCGTACCTGTACCAGAACCTATCCAGCACACATGAGCACAGTTTAAGAGACAAGAAAGAAAAGAAAGAGAGGGAAGCAAAACGCACCGACAGTAGCGAGGATGAGGAACAAGATCGTGCCCGTGAGGATAATGTTCCCTTTGCTTACTGCGAAGACAATGGATGCTCAGCATGTGCACACAAGGTGTCAAAGTATGAGAGAAGATAGTAGACGTACGTCGCCATACTCGGAGCGTGTAGAACCTAAATGGGAACAGTCAGAAAAGAAGGTCAAAGGAAGCGGGGGACAACATACGTTTGGACGACCGCGCCGTTGACACCCTACCAGTGGTTTTAGCGTTAGTGTTTGGAGAACATGGAAGCAGAATAGAAGAGAGAGAAGAGAAGAGAAGGAATGACGTACAGTGAAGAGCGCTTCCATCTATATATAATGCACCATCGTCATCAATCAATGAGCTAGGGGTTCTGGCGTCTAGGAGGAAGGCTTACCAGCACCGTCCTACACAGTTAATAAAGTACTTTAGTGCAGGAAATTGAAAATGAAAGACGCCGATACGCACCATACCAAGAATCGTAGCTGGTCCTCATCGCTTCATCGCCGTCAATACGCGGATTTGCGAAAAGAGGGTGGAAGGGTGAAGTGAAGGAACGTACTGGTAGTACGAGACGACGTAGTGGTACACCGCGTGCGAGATCATCGCTAGGTGGATAGCGTCGAATGATACCGTCAGAATCACCTGTTGAGCCGGAAAATTAGAGGAACGTAATGAAGAAGAGTGTCATGGAACGTACCAACGACTTGAGGTACCACACGTCTTTCTTGTAGTCTTGAACCCAAAGATCCCATCAGCACGCGTTCTGGACGTACAAACGCGCCCAGGAAGAAGGCCGGACGCACTCTGGTAATATAGGAAGGCCTGTAGTAGGCATATCCCGTGTAGGACGGCGGAGACGATCACGCCGATCATCATCGCTCCCATCCTGTTAAGTAGCGAAGGTGTAGGTGTAAGCAAACCTCGGGGGAGAAGCCGGGAAGGAAGGAAGGAAAGAACGCACGAGTTGTCGAGCGGGAGCGTTGGGTCGAGCGTTGCTGCGCTGGAGACCATCTTGCTCAGAGAACTCCTCGGGTTCGAAGTCGGCCGGAAGGTAGGGTGCAAGAAAGAAAGAGTGGAGGGAAGTGTGGAAGGGCTAGCTATGAGCTACGAGCGCACCGAAGCGTCGCGAGGTCTGAGGAGGAGGAGGTGAAGAGAAGAAGGAAGGTGAGCCAGCAAAACCTGGAACCGACGAGACGAGGCCGTATAAATTAGCGAGGACCGACGACGAATGTTGGGAAGACAAGAACAGAAAAAAGAAGTCAAGACGAACCTGGTCGAATTGAGTGCGTAGTCGATTGGTCTCACTCAGGGTCTGATCTCCCTGAACATTCCGGGGATCATGCCGAAAATGGATGGCAGGCGGGACAGGTATGACACGAGGCTCATCGCAGACCCCAGGAAGCCCATCAGCGCGTTAGCTGCGGGTTTTGACTTGGCGCCGCGTGGGCTAGATATGTACACTAAAAATAAGAGCTTCTTGCCGGCTCTTGCCTGTACGCGTCGCGTCGGTGGCTGGACTTGTGCGCCTCTAAACAAGTGCCAAGCGCATGACTCGAAGTTACGGAACGGTAGTATGATACAAGATGCGAAGCGCTACGAAATGCGGGCGCTTAACAAGGGCTAGTGTAGAAGAGTGACAAAGAGTTCGGGTGACGACGCAACGGCACCCACGAGCCTCAAGGTGAGGACAGCAGAGGGTGAATACGAGATGCAAACCATGTTATTGCCCGCAAATTTTTGATCAGTAGATTATCTATACTACAGAAACTATTCAAGCAAGAATGAATGAGTGGGGGATTAGGGAGGACACGCGATATGAATGTCAATGTTGGGAGAGGAGGAATTTCTTGAGGAGGAAAGGGAGGCATGCCGAGCGCATCGGTTGCCGTGAAAACGGGTGGTGCTTGTCATGGGCTGGCTGCGCATGCTGACGGAGGGTAGGCAGGCCCATCTATCTGCTGCCATGACCTGTATGACACGGTGGAAGCGGTTGGACACCATATGCAGTATAGAGTCCCGAAACACAGTGACGAGGTGATAAAAAATGTTCTTGCAGGTTTTACAGAGTCAGAGGGGAGCTGGCTCGTCACCGAGCTATAGAAGGCATCGGAGGATTGAATATGTTTGGAGTAAGGTGTGATTCTTCCCAGCGTTGGCAGCAATTAAGTCTTTCATTAAATATGAGATTCATTCTCGAACAGGCAAATGACGGTTTACAAAGGACCGATTAAGCGCTCGCTGTCGGATTTCGTCTTCAGCATGCTATCGATGCGTGGATCTATTTTCTCTATATTTATGTTTACTGTGTACATGTGTATCGGTTTAGTACTGTTGATTAAAATGCGACTTGTGTTTTGTGCCCTACAATGTGAACTAGACGGAATATGAAAGGTCCTTAAATAGGAGGCCCGCATTAGATGCGCATCCTCACTTGCTTCGCACTGAGGTTCGCATTCCGCAAACTGCCTGAGACTCGAAAAATACTACTTTACTCAGTCGACGCTTAAGAAGACAACAATTTATTTTATTGTATAAAGCTTTAATATCTGCACCCAGGATACAGCGCCCACGGGTTTGACCAGGATCGGATGGTAGCCGCCGTTGCTGGCTCAAGCGCTCACCTCCCGACTGAGATATATTTCAGACGAACTGACTTTCCCTCTCTATGATCCACGTGTCCATTATGGTATCTATAGGGTACTTGTTAATGTATTTAGATCTACGTGGCCTCTTTTATCTTTCCACTCCGAGCTAGGTAGACAAATCGCTCTCGGAGGAGCTGGCGACGACTCGCACAGCCACTAATCAAGCGCTCGTCGTCGGATTTGGATTGTAGCGCACCACACTATTGAACGCTGCATTATCTTTTCTCACAAATAAGTTTATTATGTACACTTCTATCCATTTATTATAGTTTGCCGGAAAGTTGGTTGGTGTGGCTAGCTATACGACATAAATTAGACGAAATCTCGAGGGAGATCAGAGAGATTCTCACGCCTGCTCACCGTTTGCGGCCCGCAGCCCGTGTCACCCGCAACTGCATCGTAGTCATCGAACGGCGATTATACAGCAAATATCTTATTCCGGGGTGTTCTGGGTCCTCCCGATGCTCAACTCTTCTGGTGTTGATGCGCTGGGGGCGGGAGCGCGCGAGGGACTGTATTTGGCCATTTCGGGCTATCCTGCCACCTGTCAGCATCGGGATCAGACCCTGAGTGAGACCAATCGACTCATCACTGGGTCGAATTCAAGGAAGTCGGTAACCCCACGCGTCGCTGGGTCCCAGGCTCTCGCACTCACGAGAAAAACGGACGAGAAAACACGCTTGGAGGGCATAATCCTTTTAGCACACGACCGCATCTAAAAAGTTCTTCACGAGCATCAGCGTTCGCAGACTTGAACGAACCTGAACATGGGGTAATATGTAAGCGAGCCTTCTGGCCGTTCTGGCCTTCTTGGGAACGTTTCGCTCTCATGACGAAACGGCGTAACGGGCGGGAGGGATGACCATATGTGGTTAAGCAGGGCCTGGCGTTTGATTCCGGCCTACGGGAATCGGGATTGTCATCACGACAGAGCCGTGGTTCACGTGCGCTCTTCTGGCTGTTGCCGAAGATCGATGGGACGAGCGAGAGATCCATTCAAGCGCCCTTCGAATGATAGAAGCCTGTCAAAAGCTTGTTTATATTAAATGACATGACCTCAGCGCTTCAGGTGCCTTCGTTGCGTCGTGTCTTCAGATTTTTTTCGCCTTTTTTCGACTCTCGAGTTGTGGGGGAGGGAGGGTGCGTATTGGTGGTTGCGACTTGGCCATGGTGGGAGCGTCTGGGCAGATGGGACGATATCGGGCAGTCCCGAATCTGATGTTACAGCGTTTTTCCTTCCGAAAATTTGTCAAATGCAGGGTCCTCAATTTTCCAAGCGAATCCTCTGCAGCAGGCACCCACCTCGTGGAGTCGGAAGCAAACGATCCGTAGAACAATTGGGGTCGTTGGGACGGACAGGCATGGGACCGTAGAGGGAGAGAAAGGTCATTCGCCATTCAAAACGCTGAACCTGCGCAACCAGCACATTATTCTTTGCATTCAAGAAGCTTTCAAGCAGGACCGCATGCGTACCGTGAGGGCACATGAGCTTGCGATGAATGCAACGTATTTAACCTTCGAAAGTCTGGGTCCCCAGATTTCTGTCACATTCTCTAAATGGTGAGATGTCAATAGATGGACTGGGTCTTTGGCTCTCGGCAAGATCTAATCTTTTATGGTTATGACGACTTTCGGTGGACTCTGGACGCCTAAAATTGTATCAATCTCGGACATTTGGGACGGTCTGGGGCGGTGAAGGCGAGAGAAAGAGGTAGGAGGACTGAAATACCTCTTGATTGATTGGTTTAGACTTTGAAGCATTGGCAAATTTGAAGTTGATGGTGTCGAAGAAAAACTATTCTTGATCGCTAAGGTAATCACTGGAAACTTTGCTTCCATCAGATGGTCTCACGATTCACTTCTCACCGTACGCACTGCACGCACTCCCCAGCCTGACCATTCGCTGAACGCTGAAAATAACGGAAGCTTCGCTGACGTGTTCAAGGTCTCTGGTGAACCTCCGTTTTCTCTTCCAGGACTCTGAGCAATGGAAAATCGATGGTGGGTCCACTGGTCCTCAGCCAGCCCCAAGGCGATATTCAGCGGACCACACGGACGGCATAGCAGCTAATTGTGATATCAAAATCTGTCATATTCTCTCAGCCCTTACTGGAAGGGGATGGGTCCTCTTATCACGCTGAGGATCAGAGGCAGGGTCAAGCGCCGTGCATAATCTCTTCTTCCCCTCCCTCCCACGGCAAGGCTCCCGCTTTGGACCTGCAACGGTCCACCTCCACCAGAAACCCCTCGAAAAGGCAAAGACCGACCGGATACGACAGACATCAGGAACGGGCCCCGGCCTTTGTGGGCGATGGTACTTTTGCGCGACCCGGTAACGACACACCCACCTCTTCATCCCCAACCTCGACGTTCTCGCAGGCGCCTTCACAGCAGCCTTGCACACACCTACTGAGACCATGGCTCTCCTTCCGCTCGTTACACTTGGCATCGGCCTCTCTTCTTTATGGTTTTTCGTTCAGTCGAAAAAGTCGAAACGCGGGAACCTCCCACCGGGCCCGAAGGGCCTCCCTCTTGTCGGGGTACGGACACAATTACGGTGCTTCTCATTGGCCCTTAACTCACGAGCTTCCCTTCCCGCCCTGTTACCACTCTAGAATGTCGCGGACATGCCCAAGGAGAAGGAATGGGTCACGTACGCTGAATGGGGGCGTAAATGGGGTCAGTGCCTTATACCGTCTGCTAGCGCCGTAGGGCAGGGCGCTAATCTGTTCAATGTGCTCGCGCAGGCGGTATACTCTCAGTCAACCTGCTCGGACAGGTTATGGTCATAGTCAACTCAGCCGACATTATGGACGAGTTCGACAAGAGAGGCGCCATATACTCTAATCGACCAACGCTTGAAATGGGCGGTGGCCTCGTCGGGTACGATGAGACGCTCGTCCTCATACCCTACGGTTCTCGTTTTCGCACCTATCGCAAGCACTTTTCTCGGTACATTGGCAACCACGGCAGCCCGAAACCTATTCAAAACATCTATCCTCTCATCGAACACGAGACTCGCCGTTTCTTGAAGCGTACTTTGGGCAAACATGAAGACTTGATGGCTCATCTTCGCAAGTCAGACTAGGCCCTCTATTTCCTTTCGCCTTCGTTGCTGAATATTTATCCGTTTGCAGGCTTGCTGGTGGCATTATCCTCGGACTGACCTATGGGTACGAAGTTCAAGACGGCGAGGACCCCTACGTCAATCTCATCGAGGGCGCCAACGACAACTTCAACGCCTCTACCGTTCCCGGCGCCTTCCCCGTCGACTTCTTCCCCATCCTCAAGTCCCTCCCCGAATGGCTTCCCGGCATGGGCTTCATGCAGCAGGCGCGGAGCTGGAAAAAGGACACCCTTGCGATGATCGAAGTACCGTATGAATACACCAAGAAGCAGATCGTGAGTTATTTTTGGTCGCAACGGGAGAATGATTTTTGACGCAAGATGTTTTTTCTTTTCCTTCCTCCCTTCCTTGACGTGAAGGCTGCCGGCACCGCCGTTCCCTCATTCCTTTCCACGAGTCTGGAAGACGAGAAGTCGCTCTCCGCTGATGATATCAGGGATCTGAAATGCACGGCTGCGTCTATGTATGGAGGTGAGGAGCTTTGCTTTTATACTTCAATGAACCAGAATGCTGACTAGACGCTCGCTCGCAGGCGGCGCGGATACCACTGTGTCTGCGGAGTATGCTTTCTTCCTCGCCATGGTTCTCCACCCTGGTACGTCGTGCCATGCTTCTGGTGTTGATTAAGCAACGCGTAAAATGGTAAAAGCTAACATCTGAATGTCGATATCGTAAAGAGGTGCAGAAGAAGGCTCAGGCTGAACTCGATTCCGTCATTGGAAGCGGCAGGCTCCCGACGTTCGCTGACCAGCCCCACCTCCCGTACATCAATGCCGTTGTCCTAGAGGCTCTGCGATGGAACAGCGTCGCTCCTACTGGTGCGAACCTTCGCTGATTTTCTTCTGCGTTTGACTTAGAATTTTCTGTTGTCGTTTAGGCGTTCCGCACACTGCGATTGAGGACGGCGAAATCGCAGGTTACTTTATCCCGAAAGGTGCTATGATCCTTGCCAACCTCTGGTTCGTTTCCCTCCCTTACACGTTCCCTTGCCATTTCTTGAAACTCTAACTTGAACTTCGTACCTACCACCTCAAAGGGGCATGCTGCACGACTCCGAAGTCTACCCGGACCCTTTCAAGTTCGACCCGGAGCGACACATCGAGACGACAGGCAAGCCCGCACAGCGCGACCCGCGCAAGGTGTGTTTCGGATTCGGAAGACGCATATGCCCTGGCATGTACCTCGCAGAGGCGTCGCTGTTCTCGACGGTAGCGACCGCGCTCGCCGTGTTCGACATTGAGTCTGCAGTGGAGAACGGGGTGCCAATCGTCCCTGTGCACGAGAACATGTCTGGGATCATCAGGTACGCAGATTCACTTGTTGGAAAGGTTGTGTCACTAACTCATTTTGCAGTTATCCCAAGCCTTTCAAGTGTGTGATCAAGCCGCGCTCGCAGCGCGCGGTCTCCCTCATCCTTGACGAGCAATAGAACCTATCTTTCTTTTCCATCGCTTCATCCTACTCACTTCACTCGTTATGCATTCCTACTCATGATACCATACATGCGCTCTGTTGAATTAGAATCGGGATCTAATGATACATATCGCAATAATAGAATATATTTTTAATTCACCTCGCACATCACTGTCAGGTGAAGGCGACCTTCAGATTTGGAAGACCGTTGGCATATATAATATTGAAAGCCGTTGGTGTCGACATACTTACTGTGTTCTTTGATCGCCATTGCGTCCCATCCTGCAATTTGTGGCTCATGGGTCACAGGGTTTTGCGAAGTTCAGTTACTTGGACGACAACGACAACGGTCTAGCCTCGACGAAGGTTAATTGTCAATCGATCAAGGAAAATCTGCCCTATTTTACAGAGGGGTCCACTGAGGTCCTCTGTGGAGCCGAACACCATGAAATTTGGGGTGAGGGCGGCAAGAGAGGGTAAGGGCAATCCCACGAAGAGACATCGCAAAGCTTTGGATTCTGATTGAAGGCCCATCTTTGAATTTGAAAACTTGCACAGGGGGTCCGATGAAGTTGATAGATGAGCGGTCCGATAGCCGACAACGGGGCACCAGCCTCAGGCTGGGACAGTCGCGTCTTGGTCGCGTCACTGAACGAAAATGATGTCGCGGGAACAGAAAGGAAAATCGGGCTAACCTGAACAAGGGAAAGGCGGCCATCGACGTTGACGCCGTTGCCTGGTGACAGAAATAACGATGCTCCGCACTGGCGAGTCCGCCGTAGCGCATGGGTATCAAGCCGCTGCGGGCACATGTTAGACCACTAATAATGTTGAGAGCTATTCTGAGCGCTTACTTCCATATTGTTGCAAAAATTAGAGCACGGACTCCGGGGCGAACGAGAGGAGAAGAGGCAAATTGCCTTCACTAGCGCGGTCGGCTTACGAGAGAACGAAAATCCATGAACCGTCTTCTCAATGGTGGGTGCAAGGTGAAAATTTGTTGGTTGACAGGCAAGGTCAAGCGCCCTTGTGCTCCCGGAGCGGCAAGGACCATAGAATGGAAAGCAATAAAAAATAGCATTCTAAGGGAGCGTTTTGAAGTCAATACTCTAGCATAGACTGCTAAAGAGAGGCGAACACTCACAAGTACGATACAATGTTCCGCAATACAAGTTAATCTATCATCACCACACTGCACCGCCAGGCGGGCTGCCGGGCACGGTTGGACTAGGAATGTTCTGTGGGAGGACATTGCTCCTCGGGGGCGGCGCAGTTTCGACCTCCTTCCTCCACTCGATTTTCTCGACCCGTACTTCACCCTCGATGAGTTGGTAGACGTATGTCACGACGACGGAGCCTTGGATGTCCATGAGTGCGAACGACGGCGTTGGCTCACTAAAGGCGGAGATTCAGCACCAGACATAACAATTTCGGGGAGAAACGAACCCATTGAACGCGCCTGTCCACGCTCCTGTCACGCTGCCTGGGTTCACAAAGAACTTGTTGTCGTACTCTATGGCCTGGAATCTGGACACAGCTTCAGCAAAGCTTCACCGGCGACCTCATAGCCACTCACACATGCGTATGCCCTGACACCAGTACGTCCACGTCCATCTGCCTCGCCAACGAGCTCAGAGAATCGAGGTCCCCCGTCGGTATGCTTTGGTGCCCATGAATGACGCCAATCCTGATAGGGTTGTGCACGACCGTGACCGACAGCGGGAAATTGGACTCGTCGTAGTCGCCCTTTACGATGTGCACGTCGGGCGAGATGGTTCGTAGGTATTCGTAGGTCTCCTTGTCGCAGATGTTGCCGGTGCAAAGGATCTGTTGGATCTTGCCGGGAACGAGGAGCTTCTTGAACTTTGTTGGGAGATCGTGTATGCGGTGAGGAATGTGGAGGTCCCCGATGATGAGCACAAGCACCATTGTGCTCGACGACGGCGACGGCGACAAGGACGATAATGCCTTTGCTTACGTGTATTTGGCTCCGCATCTTCCCTGAGCAGTCTTCACTTTCTCAGTCCTAATAACATTGTACGCCGTGCTCAATTTTCGTGATGTTTGGGGCGTAGCGTCAGCCCGCCGGGTGGGGACATCCAGGGAGTTCACCTCGAAGAATATAACTGCCTGTGGGAAGACGATGACGGCCTTGTACCCTACTTGTGCCCACTGCCCACTTGTGCCGTGTAATTGAAACCGGGTTTTTAGGGTTTTCACGTTTTAAATAAATCTGTCAGTCTTCTTGAACCCATCCATCAGTATCAAGACCAGCCCTCGAGTTCAAACCTTCAATATGCCACTCTGGATTCGTAGCGGCAGTGTTTTCTTGTACTACATGCTGCCAGACGAAGCGGAAGACCCGCCCAGCCTCCAGACTGTCTCCAATAACCGCACCATCGCGGAGGAATACGAGAAGCTGCGAACTACGATCGATGAATTCGCGGAGGCCCCACAAAGGGCTGAAGAGTACCTCGCGAAGAACAGGAACAGCAATGATCCCAGAACCAGAATGCTCTGTGCTCACGCGATTTATCACAGAAGCGATATTTCGGGCGAAAGCAAGGTTTTCGGTACGGCAGACCTCGCACGATATATTTACGCCGCCCAAGCGCTCGTCGGCAAAGACATGCAAATACCTCCAGATAGGTTGCTGTATTTTGAACCATACATGAGCCTGAACCACGCTGGGGGTTACTCCGCATACTTGATGGAGTTCTTGAGCGACGCCGCGCATGCTGCGTCTGAAATAGGCGACAAATTTACGGTGCGTTCGATCAACACTTGAAAGTAGAAAATATCGAGACAATTATATTCCAGGCGGTTACATGGCTCAACGAATGCATTGATCTCCAGCATAATATACGTGCGGCGTGGAGAAAGCATCATCCAGTATTCGGTCAGTGATTAATGGTTTACTGGATGTTATCTGATCAGGTTATTCCACTTCCAGAATGGTCGGGTATAACACTACCGCATCCTTTCGCCTATTCTCCGCTACAGGATGTCTACCAGGGGTTAGCCTCCATCTCCTGCGGTCTGGGAAACACGGCTGCGATGGCGTATTATATGTGCAGAAGAACATCTTTGCTAAGGAACTCGGGTCAGGAGCTTTCTGATCAAGCCTCTGTTGTGGCGAGGGCTCTAGAGGATGCCAACTCGGATATTCGGAAGCTTGAGGGACGAAGATACCCTGATCCCAATACAATCACGACGATCGAAACGAAGGATGATAGGCTTCATACAGATGGCTCCTGGAAGAAGGTACATATCCGGTCACAGGGTGGTGTTACTCCAAGGTTGAGAAGCTCCGTCTTCGTGCACGAAGGTGCGTTGGACCATTATACTAAACTTCCAGACGGTTTTGATGAGCTCTTCGCCCAGGATTTCTCTATGTGTTTGGCGGAGAAAAGACCAGCATAGATGGGCCCTACTACAAGGACTTTTGGCGGATTGACCTCCAGAAGCCTGACAGATGGGAGAGCCTTCCCTCGCCTAGCCGTGCCCTTCCCCGGGACAAAGATTGCCTCGGCAGCCATGGCATGGCGGTCCATAACGGCGCTGCTTACCTCTTTATGGGCTCTGCGACGTTGCTCCGCTACGAGTTTCGGAGCTCACAGTGGACGACGGTGAAGACAAGATTCAAATCAGACAGCATCGTCAATCAGCTGTGGCCCTACTCCATTGTTGATGGCATGTCCAACTCTGTATGCTTTGCCTTTTCCATGATCTGCGTTCTTGGAAAAATATACGTCTTCGGCGGACATACTGTCAGTTCGTTTGTCGGCGTCGACCTCTTTCTAGAGCTTGACATCGAGAAAAGGGAATGGAGAAGACTCAGCGGATCACTAAACCCTGTTCCTTCTTACTCTAGTCCCAACCCTCGAGAAGCCCCTGCATTGTGGACCAATCGCGAACAGACCAAGATTTTCCTCATGTACGGGCACGTGGACCGCTTTTCTGCCTATCAACGAAGTGCGCCTCACGGCTGTCCCGTTAACTACGCCCACGACGACCTTTGGAGTTGGGATATTATGGAGGAGAAGTGGACGAGAGAGAAGATTAGAGGCAATCCACCTTGCCCACGTGGTGAAATGGCCGTTGTATACGTATGACAATTTTCCCCCTTCTACGTTCTGATGCTTAGCACACGCTGACTCTGGCGCCTGTCCAGAATCGCCATCTCGACGCCGTCATCACATTTGGCGGGTACGGCCCCTTCTGCCCCACCGAAGAAAGTAACTTCTCATATTTTGCTGACACGTTCGTCTATACTACCCTCGACTCCAACCCCGTACAGGCGACCGAAAACCCGAACATCGTCCAACGACCCAAGACCTGGAAGCAGGTTCTTACGCGCGGATTTCCGACGTACCGTGCACTTGCACATCTCGTCGAGGACCCATCGACTGGAAAGACGTACCTGTTCTCAGGATTCTTCGAGCGCGAGTTCCTTTCCGCGGGCATGGATCCGAAGCGCTCGGTGAGAAGCTTCGCAGATTTATGGGAACTCCGCATCGATCTGCCGGGAGGCAATTTCGAGGGCGTTGATATCGAAGAAGAGAAAAGGACAGCCAAACTGGGTCCATGGCAGCGGTGTTTTGCCTGCGGATCGGTTGGTAGGTGGAGGAAGTGTGCAGGTACGAGCGTTCGTTCCTCCTGGTGCCCAGGTTGCTGACTGGCTGTCATGATTAGGCGCTTGTGGTGGGCGTGCCTTCTTCTGTGACATGGACTGTTTGAGAGACGGTTGGAAGGAGCATAAAGAAACCCACAGATGTCGGAAAATTTAATCCCGGGCTGGTACTTTTACCTATTACTTCCGGTGCAGGAAGAAGGGTATTCAGTGCGCCACACAGAGGCTTCTCTGATCGAACTCCGCCACAAGAGGAAGCTTATTTTCTCGATTTGATCGTTGATATCTAGTTTCTCCTAAAAGAAGCGATCTCTTGATACGTCTGATTGGACTACGAGTGATTTGCGTTACAGAGACCCAGGTTTTCAACTCTAGAGGACGAGGTACTGACGGTGATCGACAGCTGGTTCGAGCTCCGAACAATTGCCGCAGTCCGCCACATTTACCTCAAACCGCCCTGACGAGTCGTGACTGGTTTCTTTCTTCCCTCATCAATGCATCATTCTTCAACGTTTCAACCTCGAACAGCTCTCTCTTGGCGACATATGTGACTGAAACGGCAGTTCCATTTTCTCGGAAGGTTGTTGATCATTCGGTGGCAAAAGGAACCATGCGGTACCTGTGGAATCCCTCCAAATGTATCACGATCCCCCCTAAAGCCGTCCTGTCGCTCAATGTCTTATAGAGCACATCATGGGAAAAGTCGCCCAGCTTTCCTTTGGCTCACCACAGTGAAGGCCGACTACCAGCTCGTCCTGTCTGCGATCCTCGCGTCCACGAAGCATGGTCGACCCTCAAACCTCCTCACCCACGTCGTCTCTCGCCAAAGAAAAGGTCGAGATTGGAGTGGAAGATAAGGTAGAATGTGTGGAGAATCAGGATGCACGGAGGGCAATGGAGAAGCGGCTGGTGCGCAAGGTGGATCTGAGGATGAGCATACTCGTTTTGATATACATCATGAACTACGTGAGTTCGTCCATCTCTCCTCCATGAACGTTCTCCTGACCTTCAGCAGATCGATAGAAACAACGCTTCGTGAGTTGCTCTTTCGAAAATCTGGATTGATACATGGCTGATGTCCATAATAGAGCCGCAAGGCTGGCCACGTTCGAGGAAGATCTTGGACTTGTTGGAAGCCAGTTTCCCGCCGTCATCGCTATCTTTCTTGTCGGCTTTATCCTAATGCAAGTCCCCTCGTGAGTGATATTCGAAACGTTCGTAAACCATCGACACTGAAGCGCTTTGCAGCAATATGCTTCTCAATCACATCAAGCGGCCATCCCTCTATCTCCCTAGCGCGGTGTTTTTGTGGGGGCTGGTATCATGCCTTACTGGTGCGTGCTCATTTGAACAACGTCAAGCTTTATAACAACTGTTTTCGATATCTTGTAGGGGTCACGACCAAGTAAGAGCACCACACCCTCCGTCCTGAGCGGCTTCTAAGTTAGAACATCATGGACCAGTTTCGTGGGGGTATTAGTTTGTCGATTCTTCCTAGGGTTCATCGAGGCCGCCTTCTTCCCCGGAGCTTTGCTTCTTATGTCGCGGTAAGAAGAAGCCATTACTTCGCGAATCGTCACTAATTCCCTCCTTGCCCAGGTGGTATAAACGAGGTCCGTTCGTTGTCCGGACCTCACCAGGGCTGTGGCTGAACCCCTATATCTTCGCCACTGGTAGATGAACTTGGACTTCGAACATCGATCTTGTACTGCGGTCTTCTTATAAGCGTGGCCTTCGGAAATCTCATAGCCTCGGGTATTCTGACAAGGATGCACGGAGTGTTGGGACATGCCTCCTGGAGGTACGTGTGCTGCCTGCTCTCATCCCCTTTCTTCCCCCTCAGCTTTCTCGCCAGATGGCTATACTTCATCGAAGGTGCCATCACCTGCGTCGTTGCCCTCGCTGCCATGTTTATCCTCCCCGACTTTCCCGAAATATCGAAGAGCTGGTTGACGCCAGAAGAGCAGAAACTCGCTCTTGATCGTATTCGCGAAGACTACGGTATAGACGAGAACATGACGGAGGTGAACCAAATCGAAGGATTGAAGCTGGCGGTGAAGGATTGGAAGGTGTGGTGGCTCACTCTTGCGTACACCTTCATCGTCCTCTCGGTCTCGTATGTCCTTTATTTGCCCACGCTGGCAGCAACGCTAGGATACAGCCATACGATTTCGCTTCTTCTTTGCGCGCCGCCGTCGATGCTCGTTGCGGTTACGGCTTTCTTCCATGGGAGGTGAGTGCCATTCTGCTCTGACCCACGTGCCGGCCATTAAACGACCGCCTTCCAGGCACTCGGACAAGACCCAAGAACGGTGCTGGCACGTTTCAGTCCCGATGTTCGTGGCCATTGTAGGCCATATAATCGTCATCTCGACCATGAACACGGCCGCTCGATATTTCGGCTTGTAGGTTGTCATTTCTTGTGTTCGGAGTTTGGTTGGCTGACCAGCCATCTACAGCTTCTTGGTCGGACAAAGTCCCGCAGGTCTTGTATGCTTCGTCGCGTGGATGAAGTCAGCCCTGTCCCCGATTTTGTGAAAGCAAATACTCATACACCTTTCCTCTCCTTAAGCTCTTCATTCCCAGAGTCGCCTGCGAAGCGAGCGGTAGCCTTGGGCATTGCAAATTCTATTTCCCAAATCGGTGGGATAGCAGGGTCGTAAGTGGCTGTCCCTACAACTTAGTTCCCTTTCAACGTCTCATGCAACGCCCTAGATTCATCTATCCGGACTCCTGGGGTCCTGCCTATCGTCCGTCCTTCGCCATAAACATTGTGGCCTCAGCTGCCGTGGTGCTCTGCGCGTTTGTATATAGGTGGCATCTTTCAGGACTCAATAAGCAGGCTGCAGCGGAGGAGGTAGCTAGAGGACAGAATGTGCCGGGATTCAGATATACCCTGTAGTTAACATCACGATTAGCCAAAAAGACTCTCGCGCTTTCCCCTTGTATTATAAGTTCTGAAATAGGAGAGACGTGAAGGCATTGGAACTTGCTAATAACATTAGCGCTTCTGTCAAATTTCTAACTCGTTGGATTTGACATGAAGTATCTGCTCAGGGGGAATGCGCATACCAGATGCGAATGAAGGATGTTTAATTGCTTTCTCATAGGATGCCATCCAAAAGGATGGCATCACAACCATTCTATTCTGAACGAACCATTATTGTCGGGTAAATTAACGCTCGCCGCTGGATGAGATGTTATGGATAAGGGATGATAACTTCAACACAAGACTATAAGATAGCGATGATGGGCGTACAAGCAGATAGTCATGCCAAAATCCCACCCACATTCCAAAAGTAAAATAGACCGACCTCTGAATTGTATATCAAACAGGCGCTTAATTGAGCTTGTGTCACCAGCCATGGTCCCAGAAATCTGTATATATACTCGACGACAGGCTATCAACCAAACGAAAAATTGTACACATGCTATTATGAAAATTACGGGTCGCGCCCGTCAGCAGGCACTGCGCTTGCCACTGGATTAAAGTCAGTTATGGTAGGATATACGAATGAATGGCGCCTACCTGGCACCCAGCGTATTTTTCCATTGGGGTCTCTGAACCTTACCCAGGGCGAAGAGTCGGAAGGACTATCTGCCCGATTGGTGACTTCTACTTTTTTCGAACGGACTCCATCCTTATCTTCTCGAGCATCGTGGCTGATGGATGTAATCAGCGTATTACTTCGAAGCACTGCTCAACGATGCTCTCTCACCCTTTCACGTCTCTTTCAACCCTTCCAGAATAAGACGGCGACGATGGATTGGCTGCAGGCTCAGCTCTTGCGGCTTCGTTGAACTAGCACTAGGGCGTTAGCACCCCTGACCCGGGCAACGACATGGCACCCACCTCTTCACGAGCAAGTTCCAGGTCATCCAATATACGACGGGAAACCCTCAGAGAGGGAACTCTCTTCTCGGAGTCCTTTGGAGGTGAAGACATAGCCGTGACCCTTGTGAGCTGCGGCACTATACGGTCCCAAGACGCGATGGGGATTTCGGTCATATTTCCATTACATCCCGGCAACTCGTCTGTGTAAAAGCAGATATCGGTGCTCCAGGCTACACCAAAGATATCTCTGACTGCTCTGACAGCCGCCTAAGCCCAGAATTAGTGGTGCACTGAGTAGTACAGTATCGCACCGGAAATCGTACAGCGTGCGATACGGGTCTCGACTCGGCAAATATCTGCCTCCCTTCATAAACGTAGACGAACGATGTTGCTTGGCCCATAATGACTAGTCGATAGGGAGACAGGAAGAGACGTCGGATAAGGTTAAATGGAGTGGTGGTGGTGGTGCGACCTTGAGGAGGCCACGAGGCGAGCTACTGGAGTTTATCCACGGGCGCCTAAAGGTCGTGGACTCGGCAACTCCCGAGTAAGGACGCAAGAACAAATAGCGCTTATTCCATGAAGGCGGTGCCAACCCGACTTCGCCCAAAGCCACGAAATTTGGCCCCTCGGTTCTTAACGGGGTTTATTCGGTTTCACATCTCACCCGGATTCTTGCACACCTTTTCTCCAGCTGTGCAACAGGCGGCGGGAGATCGTTTGATTTATTTTCATCGATGGAGGACGCCTCGTGTTTGATAGTATTACTATGGGCCCGAACAGGGGTCTAGAGAGAGTTTTACGGCTTTGAAATTGCAAGGCAACTACTGTTACAAATGGCTTTATCGAGTATGGGTTTGTGCTCTAAAGGTTGGTTCCGATGTTGATATGCACAGCCTTGACTTGGGTGTACCTAATCAGTTGTAGATCAGGGATACGCGTTGAAGAGAAATAGGTAAGGGAGAGACGTACGTGTCGAGGGCATATTCGCCTAGTTCCCGTCCAATTCCGGATTGCTTGTACCCTCCGAAAGGCACAGAAATTTCAGTGAACTGCGCACAGTTCACCTAACCAACATATTAAAACAAACTCGTCAAGAAAGGACCAGTAAAACTCACCCAGGCACTTCCCGCCTCGAGCGCATGGGCCACCCGAATCGCGCGGTTCACATTCTGGCTGAACACATGGCATGCCAGACCATACTCCGTATTGTTCGCGAGGTCGATGGCTTCCTCCTCCGTCTTGAACTTGATGACCGCCGCGACGGGCCCAAAGATCTCCTCCTTCGTGATCTTCATGTCGGGGTGGCAGTCGGTGAAGATGGTTGGCTTCACGAAGAAGCCCTCGCTACCGTGCCGCTCGCCCCCAACGTGAAGTGTCGCGCCGTCGCTCTTGCCGGAGTCGATGTAGCCCATGATGCGCTGCAAGAGGGTGAGAAGGGCCAAGGGAGAAAGGGCAGGAAAGGAAGCATACATCGAATTGAATTTGCGAGACCTGAGGACCGTGTTGTGTCCCTGGAGTGAACGGGTCGCCAGTCTTTGCTGCGAGGTCTTGTGCGATTGCGGTGAATTTTTCAAGGAAGGCACCATAGATCCCTTCTTGGAGGAAAATGCGAGAGCCAGCCGTGCATGCCTGGCCTATGAGGGGAAAAATAATCAACATCGCTCAACTCGTTGTCAACAAGATACCAATTACCCATGTTGAAGCTGCAAGTCAACGGTAAGTAAAGTCTGGTTGTTACTCGCAGAGATGACCCACTCACAAGATACCGTGGGACGCCCACTTGACAGCCTGATCAATGTCTGCGTCATCGAAAACAACCAACGGACTCTTCCCTCCCAGTTCGAGGGTGACAACCTTCAAGTTTGTCTCTGCCGACGCTTTCAAGATCTTCCTTCCAGTCAGCGTGCTGCCCGTGAACGCAACTTTATGGATTCGAGGGTGCTCTGATATCGCCTGACCGACGGTATGTCCTATAGCCAAATAAATCCCCCTAACATGCAAATGTGAGGTAAACTGGCCACGAACCATATCCGTTCACGATATTGACAACACCGGGAGGGAAACCAGCCTCGTTGATCAGATCGGCCAGTTTCAGCGCTGTCAAGGGGGTCATCTCAGATGGCTTCAATACGACGGTGTTGCCTGTCGCAAGGGCAGGACCGATCTTCCAAGAGACCATCCCCTAGTAGGCGTGCTGAGTCCTGCAACTGCGCAATGAGAAGATCGATAAAAGACATACCATGGGGAAGTTCCACGGCACGATTTGACCCTGTTACACCGGGTTTCATCAGACTTTACGGAGAGGCAACTGCTTGTGGGTGGAGAACATACCACGACGCCATATGGTTCGTGGCGCGTGTAGGCGAGTTTATTCTCGGTGGTCTGTTTTGTGGAAGGTAGGCGTTCTGTTACGATGTCCTTACGAAAAGAAGAACGTACTTCGATCGTCTTTCCTTGTACCTTGTCCGCCCACCCGGCGTAATACCTAAGGCAAGTGACAGCGCCTCCGATGTCAATCGCTTTTGCTTTCGCGAAAATTTTGCCTTCAGTCACAAAACGCAATTCCGGGTCAAAAACGTGGAGAAGACGCAATGGACTGTAACGCACCGACATCGAGAGCCTCGAGCGCAGCGAACTCGTCGATGTTTTTCTCAATTAGATCAGCCAACTTGTTCAGAAGCTTTCCTCGTCCGGCACCGGGATAGTGCAAACCCCAGACGGTCTTGTAGGCCTAATCCATGTATCTTTAGTACTGGATAATGACGGATAGCGAGGGGTCACTCGCCTTCTCCGCGGCTTCCACAGCAAGATCGACATCTGCTTTCGTTCCCGCAGCCACAGAGGTGACGACCTTTCCGGTAGCTGGCAATGCGCATGAGCGGTCGCACGAAACAAACAGAACACTATGACATACCAGGATTAACCACTCTATTGATTGAGAGAAGAAGTTGTTAGGTCCCTGCAACGATAGGTACGGAATGCAAGAATAGACGCGGGAGGGCCGTGGGTCCAGACATATGAATGATATTGCCCAATTATAGATATGGGCTTTCCTTGCGTAGCAAATAGAATTTGTAGAGACGACCACTCACTCGATGCTGCCCCCTTCAATAGGATCGACCCACTTTCCCCCAATGAATAGGCTGCAAATTTATATCGATAAGATCGCGGCTAAAGGCAAAGCTGTGAACGCACCCGGTGTTGATAGTTGCCTCTCCCTTGTACGCCGCTGTATCAAACTTGTGCGTATACGTGCCCGACATCGTCAATTGCGTTCAGTGTGATAGAGAAGCGGTGTATGTGGTGATGGTCTGACAATGAGACCTGTCGTTTATATAGCGGCGCGAAGCGATGTGTGGGCCTTATTTAAATAAGCCCAAGCAAAGTACATAATAGAACCGAATGACTCCCCACCTTCTCTGGGAGTGTATGTGACATCAGACCTTGTCTTGGTAATACACCGAAAAGATGTTCTATTGACATCGAAGATCTGAATAAGCGGACGGCTCGGGTGGAGGGACGCGCATACACTTGGGCCCGCCTCCCCCGAGTTTTCTTTCGATCGGGTGGTGGGGAGACAGAAGCCCCTTTCATAAATTACTGAAGAGTCAGATGTGTCGAACGGAGGGCAGCTGATGAGCATCGGATTGTCCATGAGACCCAAGGTACATCTCATTAGCCCGCCACGATGATGGTCAGGATCTTCCACAGAATATATCGTCAGATGACCAAAAGGGAACCCTTTTCATTGTAATCAGTCTTCGCCGACGTGAGTACACGCTCGATCTATGGCTGATAAGCAAGAAGAGGGCACGGATGCCTCATCACCATCATTTAAAGTTTCGACCATCTGGAAACAACAGCGAGCGGTGCGAAAGAGGGCGTTCGCTTGTTCAGCCTTGCCTTGAGGTTGTCAGGAATGTCCTGTACGATAGTTCGGTTAGATGGTTGAGATGGATCCGGAAGAAGAGGGGAAGGAGCTGACGTTTGTCAGAAAAGCTGATCCGTTCCACACCGAAGTGACTGCCAAGTTCTCTGGCACACTAGGATACATTGTCATTAGCATGAAAAAGGGTAACCCGATTCTCTTTAGCTGACCTGTAGTCCCTTGCATGGGTGGTCAGGTGCTTTGCGCCAGCAACCGCCACAGGGCTCCTTGACGCGATGACCTTCGCGACCTCTAACGCCTCTTTGATTACCTCCTCTCGTCCACCCTGAACCACCTTCGAGACGAGCCCTAGCCGCTCGGCTTCAGCAGCAGAGAAGGGACGCGCAGTGTACGTGAGCTCGCGTACGAGCGAGTGGTTGCCTGTTATCTTGGGGAGGAAGGCCATCGTCCCCAGGCCAGGTGCGAAACCGACGTCGACTTCCTGCCACCATAGGTTAATCGAAGGTACAAAGGGGCCTCAGCACGCTCACTTTGATAACGAAGTTGGTGTTCGATGCGGCGTAGCAGACATCGCATGGGCCAATGAGGTCCACTCCGAGGCCGATAAGGTGCCCGTGGACGGCTAGGATGACGGGGAAGGGTGTTCGTTCGGGTGCGCTGAGCGCACGTTGGAAAGCGAGCAACCTCTTTCGGCTTTGCAGTGCGCCACGGGCGTTGCCCATGACTTTATCTGTCGCGATGACTTCAGGCCCCGCCAAGTCGTTCACTAAAGAAAGAACTCGTCAGAAAATTCAGGGGCAATGAGTGAGGCATGAAATCTGAAACTTGAAGCTTGAAGCTTGAAGATCAAGTACTCACAATCGATGCCTGCTGTGAATGTCTTCGAAAACGAAGACGACACTACCAGCGCACGCACGTCATAGCCATCCTCCGCCAATTTATCGAATAGCTTTCCATATGCTTGCCAGAATTCGGTGTTGAAAGCGTTCACGGGTGCTCTGGGGCGCATATCAGTCAGGGCCTAGTGATTTTTAAACCTTCCACAAAATTCCACGTACCGAGCGAGTTCGACATGCAAGACGTGTGGATACGGTTCAGACACTCGGATCCACTTCGATGAATACTGGGACATTGCACTGTGGCGGCCTTTATGTTATTGTATGTGAGGACTCAGGAGAGTGCCCGCAATACTGATAGCCATCACAGTCATGTAAAAGAGAAAGGCCATCGGCGACCTAGGAAGCCGACGGGAATCATGGGAATTGCTCCGGCCCGTCCACTCCTGGTCGTTTATGGAAAGCCCCTAATCAATTTCTTGGGACCAGTGGGCTGGTGGCATCTAAGGGAACCTCGCGGAGTGAACGCGGGAATGGGAACTCGATTGTGCACTCGCTCGGCTTAAGCCTATAGCTTGCTTGCGTTATGGTTTGCTTAGAGGCTTTCGCTTGAGTCATTCAAAGGAAAATCGAACGGTTGGGCAGGTAAATCACCAAGATTGTAGGCGTAGAGTTGTCCTAATAGTATCTAATATGCTCTCTTGCTCCAGTATCCGCTGACGGAGGATGAGTGACCTGGCTCTCGCGATGCCCGAGATGGTTCCTCCAGGCAAAAATGCACTGGAGAGATATCAACAGTAAGAGAAGGCGCATCTCCCGCCAAGAATTATAGAGGAAAGCTCAAGTGTCTCGTGAATACCCCTTCGAGGCGCCCTGGGATCGAATTTGGAAACCCCGTCGTTGTACAAAACACGATCCAGGTATAAGATCTTCTGTCATTGGAGTTTGACGGTATAATAATAGTGTCTTGAAGATATACATCTTCAATCACCAGCTGCTGGTATGTCTTCGCAGCTTTAGATAAACGAGGGCCAATCATAGTTTCGTTTTCGTTGGAACTGCGAGTGGCGGGAATGATGCCTTTTGCTTCTTCAACGCCGCTTGCAGATTCGCAGCAATGTCCTTTAGAGGAATATCAGCAGAGATCGAAAGAAGGAGGCGGCGGACTCACATTCGTTTGTAACGCTGCACCATTCCACGCTGCTGTCGACGCCAAATTCTCGGCAACGCTGAGGATATTCATGGCTCAGTGCAGGACAAAAGAAACAAGCTGAATGGTCTCTTACGTGTGGTCCCGCGAGTGCGTGATCAGGTGCTTGGCACTGGCGACCGCAACAGGGCTCTTCGCCGCTATGACCTTGGCGAGCTCCAATGACTCCTTGATCACCTCCTCCCGCCCACCCACAACGACCTTCGACACCAGGCCGAACTTCTCCGCCTCAGCGGCAGAGAACGGGCGCGAGGTGTACGTCAGCTCGCGAACAAGCGAGTGGTTCCCCGTGATCTTGGGCAGGAAGGCAAGCGTACCGATGTCTGGGGCGAGGCCGACGTCGACTTCCTGTCAGGCTTTGTTATTCGTGATGGATAGTAGAAGTGCAGGGAGACTTGCCTTGATGATAAAGCTGGTGTTGGAGGCTGCAAATCTGATATCGCAGGGCCCGATGATGTCGACGCCTAGGCCAATAACATGGCCGTGAAGAGCCGCGATGACGGGAAAGGGCGTTCGCTCAGGTGCACCAATCGCGCTTTGGAACGCGAGCAGCTGCTTGCGGGTTTGCAGGGCAGCCCGTGCATTGTCGGGGCTGTTGGCAGACACGATGGCACCTTGCCCAGACAGATCGCTCACTGAGGGTGATGTGTTTTATGTTCAGGAGACTTCGCAGAAAATCAATGCGGATACACACAGTCGATGCCCGCAGTAAAGATCTTAGGGAACGCGGACGACAGGACCAACGCGCGCACATCGTACCCGTCCTCCGTCAATGAGTCGAATAGCTTGCCGTAAGCCTTCCAGAATTCGACGGAGAACGCATTCACTGGTGCTCTGAAATCCTCGTAAGCTTCTTCATTTTCGTCGCCGAATCTCTGATAGTACGTACCGCGCCAGCTCGACATGCAACACATGTGGGAAAGGTTCAGAGACCTTGAGCCATTTCGACGAATACTGGGACATTGACACCGAATGGAACTTGTAAGCTTTGAAATTTGAGGTTTGGAAGGTAAAAGAGCAAAAGAAACCCGGACTGTGTCGGCGGTTGTTGACAAGGGCCGGTTTCACCTCAGCCGGCGGAAATCACAGGCCCACCGGCGTCTGCCGGAGGCTGTTACCACTTTGGCCGCTGGTGAACCAGATTGAATCTTGCAAGAATCTTGAAATGTTGAAGCTGCAACCTCAAGCCCAATTAAAGAACTGGGGCCTTCAATTCAACGGTAAGGCTAGAAAATCCTTTAGGGAGAACTACCAAAAGCGATAATTTTACACACAGAACAGCGGGAAACATTTTAGTCGACTGCCATGCCAGTGAAGAGGATCGCTCGGGTTTCTGACAGCCACCCATACAGACTTGTATTTACCACAGAGTTTCCAACAAAAATTGTCACTTGACTGAGGAAGTCGGTGTGCTATTCGCGGGTTGCCGGGCAGCGTGATCGATTTAGGCGCCCATGACCTTGCCTATTTAATCCAAGAAGGTCGCCTCGTGCCCTCCTCAAGGCTTGTTATCGTACCACCACTATCCACCACAATTTTTCAAGGGCCTTTCTCGTATCATCCCCTAACCAGCACATACTATGGGCCAAGCAACCTCTTTCGTTTACGTTTATGAAAACAAGCAGATATTTGCAGAGACACGGCCTTGGTCGTACGGAGTACGTTTTTTTAGCACCCCACTCTGGTAGTTGATTTCATTACTAGAGTACTTGGCTTTAGGAAGCCATTCGAGCCGTGAGGGATCTATTTGACGTGCCCCCCGGTTCCAAAATCTGTTTCTACACAGATTAATTACTGGGATGCGACGGAAATTTGACCGAAATCCCTCCTGCATCCTGGGACAATATCGTTCCTCGGCTCAAGAGTATTACGGCAGTATCTTCGACCTCCCGTGACCATGACTCTGAGAAGGGTCACTCTCCTAGGGGCCCTCCTGGTGTTGTATATTCGTCAGCCAGGCTCGCTTCTGAAGTACGTTGTGCCTCCTTGCGACCGACAGCACTGTTAACACCTTCGATTAAGGCATCTGAAAGAGTCCGACGAGCAGCCCGCCAACCCCCGCGGTCGCCTGTTTACCCAGGAGGCGTTAGACCCGTACGCAGAAGTAAATCGACATGGTTCTCGGATTTTCTAGAACACCGAGTCACTGACCACATTTACAGCCCTGCGGCCGAAGTCGAAGGCAGAAGCATCAGTTCGCGAGAAGAGTCCCCCAGTGTGGTTGCCTTTTCTGAGCCGCCTACGTCATGGAGGCAAGTCACGGATGTCAATGGGAGAAGGCGCTGGGTTTCCAGTACGTCGCTTCCCCTAGTATCTCGTGAAGATCACCGTCGTTCATATCTATTCGCGTTGTAGCCGCATCGGACGGCGACGGACGTAACTTGTAAACGAGCAAAATTCACGATACTGCCGTGGGGTACTATGACTTCTTGGAGTGGCTTGCCAATCGATTTATATGCAACTTATTTAGAGGACTCTGAATGTATTGTTCTTTTGGATGGTCGTTCAGAGGGGGGTTCACGTCAATTAAGCGCCGATATTATATATTCCGTCCGTGGGTCTACTTTAAAGCTTGGAACGTGCGTGAGACCTAGAGAAGGCCATCGGGTTGTTCTCGACCACCACCATTATCGTCGGGCGCTTATCGTTCCTCATCGATTATATCATATCCAGCGGCGAGCCCTTCTGTTCCATGACCGAACTTTCTGGCACTGACTAGTGGTTTAGAAACATGGGTGCAGAAGCTTCGAAAATGTTTCTGTACTGCTACGAGGGAGAACAGGTGTTAGGCGAGCGGCCGACATCGCACCAGGTGCGTCACCCAAGCAAGCTGACTTGGATGCAACTCAATCCAGCCCTCTCTCTCGACAGGCAGCCACCATCGCAGTCAAAATGCTGTTCCCGAGTATTCCAGCAGACTACACCATCTCTTTCTACTCCTCGGAGCTAGAGATCTGCGGTGGAAAGCAAACAGAAATATCATGTGGTGCCTGGGCCGACGCCATACCAGACCTGAATAAGATCACAGTGAAAGCTCACCGTCAGGCTTGCCAGGGTATTCGGAGGGTATTCTGGGCAGAAAGCTTTATCATTGAACATTTAGGTCGGTGTGCTCGATTGGAAATGGGGGAGCTTGTCTTTACACGTAAACAGTCGAAATCATTGCACAAATGTCTGTAGAAAGCAAGGCGATGCAGGGAAGTTCTTGTTCCAGGACACTTTGTTTTGAGCGGAGAGCAGATGGGACCCGTTAATAACGATAGGCCAACATATCGGAAGGGTACTTCCGTCGAAGAACATGCCCAGGTTAGAAATCGTTGTTCTTCCTCGTCCTTCTACCGTGCCTCCGAATTATTTAAGATCAACATAACAATTATTGAGATGGAATGTCCACCGACTTCACACGTATATGATAATCCGGCGTCTCGGGGTTGACTGCAGCAGTAAGACAAGCGCTACGCGTCACCAACTATGACATTTTTTGGCGTTGCTAGTGTGACTCACGTGGTGAGACTCGACGCGAGTGCCAGACTCAAGTGACGAGGCCATTATTCAAATGCTAGGAAGATTCTCCATCTAGGTTTTCAATGTTAGATTAATATAAGTATGTATATACAATACAATATAGTTCAAGGTTTGCCGAAGGTTGTCATCAACTCCGTAAGAGGTGCCAAATCACCAGGTTCTCTTGCTCGCCCATGCCTGCAAGTGGAATTAATTCCATGAACGAATCAACCCATTTTCCAGTAAATCAGACTTACATGCTGAGCATATGGTAGTCAACCAGCCCCTTCGTCACAGGGCGCGCCTGACGCGTCAGTTCATAGCAGTACCGGCACGAAAGGGTGCTCTGCGTCGTGTCGGGTGGATTGGCAGCGATCTTCGCTTTCGCCTGGTCGTCCTCGGCGGTAGCGAGGCCCACGAGGGTCTTCAACCGCTCGCCATCGTGCCCATCGATGAGGAGCTTGCCGGCCTTCTGCCACGCCTCGGGGCGAACCTTCCTCCACATGTCCGAGAATCGTTTACGTTCCAGGTAGATGTGGTAAACCTAGACATTGGGGTCAATACTGGCAGGAATTCGACCAGACACGACAGTTTACCAGTCGTTCGAACGTCATCGGGCCACAATACTTGGGACTCCCGCATCTACCATACGAATCGTCAAGTCATTTCGGAAACTGACTTCTGCGGTCGATTAGATTGATCGACGAGATGAAGGCGTTGGGATGGGATGAACGTTACTTCCCTTTCGACGAAGACGAACCGGAGACGAGGATGTGGGACTACTACCTCGACCAGCCGAAGGATTTCTCCTTACGACGTGAGCCTTCTTAGACGGTGTCCTTTCCTATGTTGACGTCCTGATTGTCTCGCGTAGACTGGAATGGTATCAGGCCGAAGCTTGAAGAGCTCTACCATCAGAAAAGGCGTAGGATTGTATGCGAAGATGTCATCGAGCACATCAAGGCCGCCTACCTGCAATACCGCAAAACCCAACCCATCATGGCGCGAATCGGCCTGCCACCCTGGCACGAGCTGCGTCTCCTGGCACCTTCACTCATAAATGCTATTGTCGCCTTCCAGGAAACGGCATACACCGATCAGGATATCCAAGGCCTAATGGATCGCCTTAAGCACGAGACGCAAGGCTTCCTCCCCTCGGCCCAAGTGGAACTTGTGAAGCTCATGAATCTGGCCAAGCCCTCCGTTGATGAGCCGGACTGCTCCCTGACCCCGGTAAATCCCTTTTTTCGACCTTCATCATCACATTCTCGTCGTCCCCTCGATCCCCGACACCTTTCCCATTGAGCCATATGATTCCTCGACGCACCCGGAGACCCTCAGCCAGAACATCAGCAAGCCCCATGATCAGCCCACATGGTTCCAGTCGAAGTGAAGCCTCGACGCGCCACCCTTGCCATATCAAGACCATCAGCGCAGTCGTCCGTTGCGTCCCCTTGTCATTTGATTAATTTTTATCATTCTTATTTATTTCTGTGGAAGATTTTCTCTTATTCTTTATTCCTGCAGCCCGGTTCGGAGAAATACCTCACCGGTGCTCCTGTTTTACAAAATGTCTGTACTTACTCTTTTCCCCCAATAACATACAGTTCCTCGTCTCATTTGCCCACTCGGGGCACTCATACCTCGCCCTCGTCTCTCGTACGCCTTCTCTCGTCGCTCTCAGCCTCGTTTCGACTCGCCATTTCGACCCACCGTTGCCCCGTCTTTCGATCTCGCCGCCATCGCCATTCTGATCCCACGCTTAGCGCCCACCGTCGTCCCCCGTTTGCTGGTCGCGCGTGCCCACTGGTTAGAGCCGCACAACCGGGAACCTGTCCTCGCACCTCAGAGCCACTCATTTCGGTGTTTTGGGTGTGTGTTAGTCATTCCTTATTCGCACGATCACCCCACCGTAGGCACATCACCGTGCCGGTGCCTCCTGCTCAAACGCTTCAGAAAGCGTCGTCCCTGTTCTTCTGCGAATGCGACGCGTGCGAAGATAGGAACAGAGAAGGGAAACGGTTGTATGGGTACCCGGCAATCATGGACCACTGGCTTGACGGCAACATCGAGCTGTTCTGGGAACTCTTTGGCAAGAATGTGAGCTGCGCACAGCGGGTTGTCACTGTGGCTGAGGATGTGCTGGTTGCTCTCGGGTTGGAAAAGGACTGTCCACGCAGTCAAGTGGTAAAGCTGGGAAAGTTGGCGTGTGTACCTTCGCCTCCTTTTATACTTTTTGTCCAGCACGGCTCTTTCGGCCTTGCTCTCCTGCATTCCGGTCCAAATCTTCATCGCGAGTCACATGGTCAAGAACTGTGTAATAAAATTGACATACATTAATCATCCGAGTAGCCTTCGCATGGTTCTCGACGAGGAACTTCTTGTGCCGCTCGCCACCCTCCGTGCACGACTGAGTGTACGCTTTCCGGACTAATTCGACCTCCGGTTGGAAATACAGCATGGATTTATGGTTTCCGACACTGTCGTGCTGAGATATTGAGTTATGTATGACTGAGAAATAATGAACAAAAGGGCCAATAGAGAAATCAAGAAACGAAAGCGTACTCGAATAACTGGTAGGGCCAGAAGATGGCAGCAACGAGAGAAGAACATCGGGGTATACCCCAAATCGATGCCTGATTTGGAATCCGGAGACAAGGCTGGAGAAAACCACGAAGAATTCAGAGAATAGACGCAGACATGGCGGCAGAGAGGACCTACTTTAGCTTCTTGCAGCCAATACATAGCCGTACGCGAAGCATGAACTCTGGCTCTATGGTTCCGCGCAGATTGAGACATGCCTGGAGAGAAAATGGGTGTCAATCAAGCGTTCATATTCTTCGAATATGGGACGCACCATACAGAACTTGTCGAACATCAACGCAACGAACTGCGGCAACGACATGTCTTCTGGGCATTTCGGGAACCACCTATCACCAGTAGCGGCCTCTTCGAGAACTCTCTTCCATACCGAGATCATGTTACGCGACAAGAAAAATGCCCTGAATTCCTTCGAGACGCGCGTAAGGTTGAGCAAGTCGATGGGCTCTATGTACGAGCAAATCTTTTGAGACGGTTAGACAATGACACGCTTGACGCGACGTAATGAGAACTCGCCTCCAATATGACGTCCAAGGGCATGTCGACAAAATCCTTGAGAACAACTTCCACCTTCCTCGCTGCGGCTTCACGTGCTTTCTTGGATGTCTTGGGTATTAGCGATGAGTCCTTCAGGATGGCAGGGCTAACGAGCAACTCAAGTCGCTCTTTGCAGCCTATGGACGTCAAAACGGAGAACACTCAGACTTGGCATGATACTCACTGAAGAGCAGGGGCCCATAACTCGGTTTCATGTCCTTCGGCTTGGGCTTTGGTGCAGCGACAATCTTCCGCTTCAACGCCGCTGCTTTAGCCTCTCCAGCCCCAGGGGCGATGCCCAACACGTTTTCCTTCGTGTTACCAGTTGTAGGATTCTTTTTTGAAGGCGGTCGTCCACGTTTCGAAGTAGTTGCTTTGGGTTTCTTCGGAGCAGCTCGTGTCGTGGCCTCGTTGACGAAAGGTTTGGGTCTGTTCATAGTTACCCCAGTAGAAGACCGTGTGTTATACCGTCGTGCTTGAGCCAGAGAGCTGCCTGCATTGTTGTCCATGATTCAATCCTGAGGGTACGCGGTGGCGGTGGAGGTGAAAGTCCAACAAAGTGACGACGGAACTTAGAACGCTTCCCGTCTCCGTGAGAATTTTGTTTCCTCAGGGGCGAAAACCCCTATCCCCGATAACTCTTACAAACAAGCTCAGCAGGTGAATAAGATATGACTTACATACTATGAATAATTTGGTGAAAAGTATCCCAGTTAAAAGCAGAAATTATTTGATGATCTATGTACGAGTTGAAGTTCACCTCGGGCAGCCTCGCGAGCGACGCGTCGACGCTTCAAGATCACATGATCGCTCTCCACATCAGAGGCCCAGAGGTTTCCATTTGCCGTAGGTTGTTAAATAATTTAGTCCCAATGAAAAACATGTTTTTCGTCTCTTGTGAAAGAACGCTACTCTTTTTACGGTCCTGTAGCCGGAACGCTTATGCGCCGAGGGTTTAGACGCCCAAACTTTAGGCAATCGCATTTCCCCAAGCATTCCCCATTGGAAGCAAAGGGCGGTGAAACGTGCATGGGATTATCGATGTCCTGACCCAGACTCTGTCCTTTCGCCTAAATTTCGCCTTCTCATCGTTAACCACAGGCAAGGCATTGAGTGCATATCTTTACATTTGGGGTAGTGTCTACAATGACCAGAGCAAATAGAAACCGATGTTTTCCCCTCTCGTTTGCGTCTCGACCATCTCGAGGAAGCTCCTTCCCTCATCACCCAAATTCGTCACCGTCTTGACACTCGCCCTCGTCAAGTGCCGGCATCGTCCCGCGGTGCTTGGACCCCTCTTCATTTCATCGTTAGACTCCAAGTCATGCGTCTGCCCGGGTCATTGATGCTCAACTTGAATCCGTGAACCCGTCCTCACGCGCAGAGCCATTTGGAGGGTGATTTGGTATTCATTCTAGCTGCCCAAGGGCAGCCCAACCGCCCCACCCTTGACACATTACCTCCCCTACGATCAATTAGTTGCTGTAATTTAAGCATGTTTAGTTGAAGTCGAATGCAAGACGGCCTTATTCTTCCTCGTGGCTGCCGACAGAAAAGCACGATGCGCCCCACTCAACCAATTAGTTCACTGAGAACGGATTCTGCATCCAATATACATATGAATTCTATCTATTGTCCAAAACCGCGTTCTGAACGGTCTCTGAAACACTGCGTAGATTTTATCTGTTAAGCGCCCAAACACTGCCACTTTAGATAATCACCAAATGATGTAGACGTGCGTGGGATTCTGGCCGCTTACGACGCTTTCTACTCGAACCATCACCATTGTCGTCGAGCGCAAGCACCTAACGAAGCATATCCACTCACTCCAGTCATCCACCGCTATTGACAGAAGGTGCTGAAGTCCAACGATGGGTGCTCAGCCGTCGATCATTATCGATACTATCCCTGACAATCTCGACGGAAAGGACGCACGAGGATCAATATTTCTCTTCATCTACGAGGGCAGGAGGAAGCTGACATGCTGCCCCTCATCTCATGCAGTGAGTTTAATAGATATGACCTCCCACTTTCGCGGCCTTACAATGGTTCGCGGCACATTCGTAGGCCGCCGTGACAGCTGTCTGGGATCTCTTTCCCGAAATCTCTTACAACCAGAGTGTCTCATTCCACACTGACGAACTGCCGATATGCGGGGGAGAGATGACAGAGGTCTCCCCTGCATCCTGGGATAAAGTAACAGCATTGGTGGATAAGCTGACGGTTAGGGTGGAGTCGCAGGAGAACGGTGAAAGAGGTATGTCAGAGTACATCTGATAATTTGTCGCTAGGGTGCTTACTGTGAACATCTTCGACCTAGTGGAGCTTATTGTTAAGTCAATGACCGGACGCCAGATGTTGCTGAAAGTTCCGTCTTCTATGACTGTCAGATCTCTGAAGCAGAGAATCGGCGACTATTGTGGGGTTCCATCTGGGTGCGAAGAAGGCGGCGACGGACAGGGGCAACTTCGGCTCATCTTCTCAGGCCGGGATCTGGATGGGTTTCTGAGCTACTCCCTCAAGGAATGTGGCATAAAGAACCTATCTGTAATCCACATGATGCAGATATTGCGTGGAGCGAAGCCAGTCATTTATCTTTTCGCACCTGACTTACTGGAGGCAACCGTGAGGCTCTCCCTTTCTCCTCAGTGGGGCCTCTCGGCTATATATCCTGTGGTTCCAATCACACAAGGCACAACAGAATCTCTCGAGAAAGTCATTTGGAGTGTTCGCGTAAATCCTGGTGGCACCTTGATGGAACATATCACCGGGCTCGAGGTGGCGTACTTGTTTTGGGAAGCAACGTAAGCGTAGAGGTTGGTTTTCGACCTTCCCGACTAACCTACATCCTAGAACGAACCACATCCCGCCGGCGTCTCCTACCCATGGGACGCAGTTACATGAGTCCTTCGATCCCAGCCATCCCATTCTGAATGCGGAGAACTCAGTGGTGATTCCGGTCACCAACATAACTCCATATCTCGACAAAGAATTACAAGAACTCGGGCTTCATACAGAGGCAAGGATGTCGTTTATCAGGTACTTGCCTTTTTTCCTGGTGATAACTGTATTCTATTAAACGAGGGCATTGTATCCTTGCCTCCAGCTTCTGGCTGCCTGCAATGCTGAAGCATAAGTACATCGCTCTCCGCTTCCTCCCTCAAGACGCCTATGAGCGTGCTGCACCTCTAGCTGTCACTCCTCGTCCGGATGTCATCACCCGAGTGTACATGGTTTTTCAAGGAGTCGGCGACGAAGATTTGGCTTCATGGGATGCCGCCAGAAAGAGAGGAACCAAGGAACAAGGGATTTGGAAGTATATCGTTGGGGTGGATAAGAGCCGCATTGAAGACAAGGGCTTGTTCAGAGTCCTCGAGTGGGGAGGGATGGAGATTCCATTGCTTAACTGTCGCCAAGAAGCTTAAATAAATGTCATATGTGGCTAGATAACAAATTAACGTGGAACAGTCAGTAGTAGAGCAATTGTATACCACAATTAAGGGCAACGACTAGCCGAACAACGTTCGTATACTTGCGCAGGAACCAGACCAGAGACAAAGAAAGCGCAGAAGCCTCTTGAGAGATTTGACGTCGCACGGAGGAATAGACGATACGAATAGCGATGAATTAAGGGGATATAAGATGGTAAACGAGTGACGGTAGGTCTCCTAAGCGATGTCCCACTGTTACCTATCCACTACAGTACGACAGTGTTGGGCAGTTCAGACGTTGACGTTGATCGGCGAGCAGCCAAGGGCGACGAGGCCATCTGCGACGGCGAAAGGAATAAGTCGTGATGTCAAACAAGAAGCAAAAATTGGCTCACTGAATTTGTTGTTGCTGCAGCAGACGGGCTGGCTCCCGCTATACAAAATGTCAGGGGCCAGTCTTGGGAATGAATATAAATCTACTGACCAGGACGCGCCGCTACCGAGGCCAATGGCGGTGATGGGAGAGCATTGAGCGCCGACGAGGCCCGTGATAGGACCAACGACGACACCAACAAGGGCAGCGAGGATGTTGGCCTCTTTGGACTCCTTCTCATACACGGAGTTGCCTATAATAAGGGAAGATTAGCGATATAGAAACCAGCATGTATTTGAAAGGCACGCACAGCATTGGACGGGGCCAGTGTTGCAGGAGTTCTCGATGCCACCAGCGGGGGCGGCGGCGACGAAGACGGCCATGGTGGCGGCGGTGAAGAGAGCGAGCTTGGAGAACATTTTCAGGGTAAAGAGTGTGGGTGAGGTTTGAGTGGTTGCTTTGGAACGAGCTGGAAAAGACGAAGCGGAAATTCGACTGAAGAACGAAGAGCGGCAACCGTAGGTTCTTATAGGTTTTTCCAATGCAGGGATGAGAGTATTGACGGGCTCGGCTTAGATCAAAGGAAAGCCGCATCGTTTTTCAATAAAACATGCGACGAGCTAGAAGCTGGGAAGTGGGAGCTAATCTCGGAACGAGCCGACAATTAATTATAGGCGCTCATTCCCCTTATGGGAAATGCGAAATCGGTGGCGGACTCAATCGGTGATCCCGTACAAGCCCCCTAGTACATCCGAGAACGTTCGGTAAGAGACAACGAGCGCCAGTAGATACAGGAAAGTGCAGCCAGCTCGACGACTCTGAATCGTTAAAATTAAGAACTTTACACTCAGCAAGCGCTTCCCATTTGGTTTAGGCTAACTTTGAGCGGGGATCACTCGAGCCCTGTGCACATTTCAGCGTAAGCAATTAGAAATTTTAACTCGCGCACCGAAATGTCATTTATTCTCCCATCGTTCCGACAGGTTCGTTCCAGACAAACGCTCCTCCGGCTTGGGTTTCCCTCTGCTCCCGCTGCGCAACATAGATCCACTCTTAGTCGACGTTGGGCTAGTCGCCCACAAGACCCTTCTAGTACCACGGCGGGAAGTTGAAGCGTCGGCGCGCAGCTCTTGAAATGAAATGCCGTCTCTTGGAAACAAGAAGCCTGCATGACATGTCGGGCAGTACGGAAGCTCTTATCTGAGCTTCGAAAATCTTCTCTGAGAGCCGCTCTACAGACGCCTGCACGGGCGCGGGCGGTCGGATGATTTCCCGACGTCTCTTCTGGGATCTCTGCAGAGTTGGCGACCATTTGCGCTGACTCAAGGACGAGGGTTTGAGGTGTAAGTAAAACTCTGTCGAAAAGCGGCAGACGCGCTGGGCGATGTCCATTGGAGTTCAAAATGCAAATGTCAATTTCGAATTCCGACATCCGTTAATGAAGCTGGGAGCTTCATAAACGAACAAGATTACTTATAAAAGGGTGCGTGGCGTAGGGTGAAGGGTGTATGTCATACGTACGCTTTGCTGCCTCATTGCCTTCGACTCGTTTGATCCCGACCTTTTTCGAAGAGTGGCCCTTAGCTTGAAGTCGCCAGCCAGAGATAACACCTTTCCATGCCTGTGAAGCAAGGCGAGCGGTCTCGTCAGCTCCGTGCATGCCGTTGATGCCGCCAAATTTAAAGCAAGGACTCGCCAGTACTCACCTTGACCATCATGTGGCACTCTCTCGTCTAAGGGGCCGGGAAGACGAACAATATTCGTCGACCGAACGTCGCCCTTTACGATCATTATCTTCGTCTGGGGCAACAATTCCTACAAGGGCTGAGGGCACCCAGGAGACGAGCCCGATGGGAGTCGTGGAGGGTGATGTTGAACGTACCTCGAGGATAAGGCCGAGTTAATGCCCAACACTCCATTTCCGGAGCGCATTGTGAGGCGACGATCGTTGCAAACCTGATTTTAATTCCTTGGAGGTATGATTATTAGTCTATGCCGTCCACAAGGGCGTCGGCGAGTGCAGCTGCGTTGCATCACCAAGTGTTGCTCATACATACGAGATGCAGCTTCAATTAGACTTTCATTGAGAGAAAGATTCGCTGCAGGAGGGTGGTAAGAGCCAAGAAGTGACCGCCAAGAATTCGAAACGTCAATGTTGAGGCTTGTTTATGCTGACGCGACGCGACGCGTCAATTACGTGGACAGCCTTGAGCTTGAGACCCGTATCCATGACTCGTGGTTCTTGCCATTCTGAAGTTATCAGAACATTTATAGAGTATTTGTGGTTCGCTGGGCTCCCATGACAAAGAGGGAGATGTGGAATGTTTGCAGGACGCACTGCTAGAACAATGTGAACGAGACTGAGGTGAATATGCATGAGCCTGACTAAATTTCAACGAGGCAAATAAAGCAATAAAAGGTGGGCTCAAACGACATAATCAAGTTCATGCATATGAACAAAGTCTCCCTCAATCCTGTCCAAGCCATGCCTATGGCATCAACCGACCGTCGTTGAATAACAAATTTCTGCAAGGAAAAGGTGTACACTCACCTAGCTTTCATGTGGAAGTCTATCGTCTCATGCTCGATTTGTGACAGGTGGACCCGCCTCGTCAACGAGAAGCACCATTGGCATCGGTGCTGCTGGGGGAGAAGGAAGGTGTCCTCTGCACCATCCGTTGAAGGTTCTTCGCTTTCTCCGGCCCCGGGCACAGAGTCCAAGAAGTCTCGCAGGCTTTGCAGATTGTGGGAATCTTCGAGGAGATCGTTGACGCGATGAAGCCTACAATGAGAAGAGATAAGAACGAAACCGAAGGTGGTAATATAGAGTGATGAAGACTAACCGAGAGGGGTGGACCTGCTGCAATTTCTGCTTGCACCACTGTTGCTCTGAGTAGACGTGGAAGACCTAGAAGGGCGACAATAAGAATAATTTCTAATCGAATGCGTTGGTGGACTTACGAGCTTCTCAAACGTCATCGGTTTTCTGTACAAATGATGCCCACACCGACACACGAACTTGCCCATACGCTCGAGCGTTTCGTAGGAAGTATCCTCTGCGAAGCCGAGGGCGCAGAGGACATCGCTTGCAGTCTGGAACATGTCGCATCGATATTGGGTTTCATGAAGTCCGACGCTTGGAACCATCCTTCTTCAGGGTGGGTCTCGACAAGGTGGTCAACAACGTCGCGGAACGGAATGTACGTCCGCATGCCTGCGCATTCATGCCTTTGGCACCGAAAGAGCATCCTTGCTTCCTTCAAGACCGACGGATGCGGTGGCATCGCATAGAACTTCACGACTTTGTCAACGACTTCGGCTTGGACGCGAGAGAAAAAGTCAGCAGTGTCAGCCAACAGCGCGTCCACAAATGTGCAAATATTATCTGATGTCCAGTTGGTCGCGTGTGTCTGTTCAATGAATATATCTAGACGAGGGTCGTCCAACGTATCCTGCCATCCTGGAGTCTGGCGGCGGCGTTCAACGGGGAGTCTCGAGCGACAGGCCAGGAACTCGTCTTGGATAAGGTCGAGAAGAGTATTGATCCGGATTAGTTCCTTCGATCGCAGGTAGATGGCCTCCATTTTCGGTCGTATGGCCTTCCATCCTAGACAGGAGAGGCTATGCATTAGAGTCAAGTAACAAAGAAGGTTGCACTTACCACGGACGGTGAACTCTTTCGCTTGAAAGAGAAACTTCATCCACTGCTCAAGATCCTCCTGCGTCCCCGGACTGTACTCAGTAGGGAAGTAGTACTCTTCCCAGCCCAAAGCAGCGATCTCTTGCATGATTCTACTCGAAAGCCATTCCTCAGAATGCAGTCGACGAGTCCGTGAAAGATCCATACCTCTCATATCTGGTTGTGGTCAGGGCTTCTTTCTCGGTCGCAGCCGCATCATTCTGATCAGCTTGCCACTGTTCAAGCAAAATCCCTTCCTGAAGATTATCTCGACGTAAAGAAAAATAAGAAATAGAGGACGCAGATCTTACCTGTATCATCCTCGAGGCAACCGAAATTTGATCCCCTACAATGAGAGAAAATATTTCTTCAAAGTTTGGATTGTCGCCCATTGCTTGAATGATCTCCATAACATGTCCGATGATATCTTCGACCTCTGGTTTGAAGTATAATGCTTCAAGGTCGTTGAGCGTCGAAACTTTCTGGTCTCTGTCTTGAAATGGCATCAGCGGTAGCGATATGGAGCAACATAACTAAATTCACTATTCGGATCGTGACCCTCGTAATCTATCCCCGAAGATGGCAAAATTTCGAGGAACAGTGTGGTGTCGGAATAGGCGTAGCCCTCAGAACGAATATCGTAGCCATCCATGAGACTTTTGTGTAGACGTGAGTGAGCGTACAGGAGAAGAGTTAGCTGCACTTACTTTCGTTTTGCGCACTTCGTACAAAACCTCAATCGCAGCCGGTAATAAGTTGTTAGTACACCTCGCGTACTGCCACACGCCTACATTGAACAACTCAACGAAAGTATACTCAGTAGAGAAGCAAGACACCTACCATGCAGAATTTATCGTAAACAAGACTAGCATACTGTGGTTCATCGAGATCCTCGGGGCATGGAGGAAGACCAGGCACTTGCACCACCACCCGACGCCAGATTGCAAGCGAACTCGATCTCGACAGGAACAACGACCGAAATTCTCTCGAAACACGCGTCAATGTGAGTACATCCGCTGGACTGAGGTACGAAATGGCCTTATTACGGGATTACTTTAGCATCATGCACTGCAAGTTTAGTCAGTAGACGCACCTCAAAAATGACGTCAAGTGGAAGATCCAAAAAGAGCTTCAGCGCCCCAATTCGACGCTTCGCAAGGAAGCCTTGGGCTGGAACCAGTAGATGAAGGGGTTTTTCGAATTCTGGAGGTATAATGAGGCGCAACCTATCTGAGTGGCATCAAGAAGTGTTGAGAAAAAAGTTCGAATGAGGATTCAGAAGCCGAGGCCTGGGACCTACCAGCGACAAAAAGCCTCTCCAGAGATGGTCCTATGTTCTCCATCCACGCACCGATGTACTTGATTGACTTCAGAAGACGAGAGTGTTTGGTTGAGAACAAGATTTTGGGAACGGGTGGCGACGCCAAACTCTCGAGTCCTTATTTGTCCTTGTTGTAGAACGCGACGCGTCTGTGGCACTCATTAACACCTAGACAGGGAAAGCCGAAGGTTTTCCGATGACCGCCAGCGCTCACTTTATTGTATCCAACAAGAGATGAATTTATGTGTGCAATGTTCTATTGAATAATAGTACTTACGTTGAATAGAACTATGAAGAAACGTACGGGAAGAAATAGCGTGTCACTAGTAATCAAACTCAAGGACAAAATGCCAGTGCGTACATAATCATGAAGGAAGTCGAAGACTTGGGGGTTTCATGCGTGCCTGCCTCGCTAGCCGAACTTTGCTGCCAGGTCAGCAGCAAGCGCCATGTCGCCCTCCGATCTCGCTTTCCCGTGTCTGTTGGAGGAGTGAGCGTGTAGCTTTCTGGTCGTGTGTGCTTAACTTACACGGAGCTCATATGATAGTTAATTTCACCGGCCGCCAGCGACGTCCGTAAAGAAGTCAGCTCGAAACAATACCGACACACTAGCTCGCTCTTCTTCTTGCTCGGCGGATTCGCGTTCACTTGAGCCCTTGCCTCATCGACCGCCTTACCAGCACGAACAACGAAAGAAGGCAGCCGCTCAGCAGCATGCGAATTGAGCAGAAGGGCCTCAGCCTTAGTCTGAGCATCGTCGAGGACTCTTTGCCGCATCGTGGCATACTCCTCTCTCTTTCTGTATACGTGGTACACCTGGTCGTGATGTCAGACATGCATTATCAAGAGCAAACGACGACGTACCAATCTCTCGAACGTCAGCGGCCCACAGTTATGTACACATCCACACCGACATGCAAGCTTCCCGAGCTTCTCCATTTCATCTCTTCGACATCCCTTCTCCAGCCCCAACGCAACAAGCACGTCCTTTGCGGCCTGAATAACATCACCCTTAGCGAAAATATCTATCTTCGCTACTTCCCACTTTGCCTTATCGCTATTCGCCGAGACCCAGTGATCCACGACCTCCGGGTAGGCGAATAACTGGGTCCCAGCGCGATTTTTCTCGTGACACTTCCTGCACCTACAAAAGAACAGCGCTGACGCTCTGCCCAAAACCATCTCGTCAAGCTCTGACCCCGTAATCGCTCCGCCCCTCCGTAGCAGTGCCACTAAGTCTTTCCGGGCATTGGGTAAGAACCCCTGCGTCTCCTTCGCAACCGTGCTCATAAAGTTATGGATATCCTCATCTGAACGCGGTTCCCATTCGTTCTTAATGAGAAAGGGAGCGAGGGACGGGCACAGGGCCTGAACCTCGCTCAGCGGTGGCAGGGCGACGCGCTTGAGAAGGTCAGATTCGTTCTTCCTGAATTCGAGGTAGGCGTCTTCAAATCGCCGTGCAATTGCGTTGAACATGATGCCACGTTTGCTCTTCTTGTAGATTTGCTCGAGCTTGGGCTTGAGGGCCTTCCAACCTGGTCGATGTGTGTTTCGCCAACGGTAAACCAACATGGTGAGAAGGGACGAATTATGCAGACGCACTTCGAAGAGTAAACTCTTTCTTCTGGTTCAAGTACTTGTCCCACTTCTCGGTATCCGAGTCGTCAGAGTCGTCAGGGAAGTATTTCTCTTCCCAGCCGAGCCTCTTCATTTCTTCGAGCATCCTATTTTACAAAATCAACAGGTCGAGCTAAAGGGAGTTGCTGCAAACCTACAAATAACGACGAACATCTTCCATGTCCTCTTTGGCCTTTTCCTTGCGCCCTTGCCGAAGAATGTCCCAATGGTGAAGAGCGTGACCTTCCTGTACGTCGAGTTAGCTGAGCTCGGAAGATCGTCGTTGGATAATGGTTCTCACATTCATCATCCTCGTCGCCCGTGCCTGATGTTCAGTCGCGAAAGACGCGTACTCTGACCGAGATAGCTCATCGTACTTATCAAGCATGAGGGCCGCCTCCGGGATGATGTAATGCGTTCCTTCATTGTTTTCCGCGCTGGAAAAAGCGGTAGACGGAGGTTTGACTACAGAGGCGAACGAAGAAGGTCAAAAGCCTCACTCGGCAAGAGAAGAGTCGTACGTACTAGGCCATTCAAAGCCATCTCGGGAAACAAAAGACGAGGGCAAGAGTGTGAAGACCGATTTCGCGCTTTGGCCGAAGCGATACATCAGTCCATAGCCGTTGGCAACACTGTAGACAGTGAGTAACATAATGTTTTGGCAGGTCTGAAAGCAAGGACTTACTTTGCCTTCGCACACCCTACGCAGAGTCGAAGCCTCAGCTTATAATCTGGCTTCACGGTACCGCGTGTGCTAAGACAGGCCTACACCAGACGTCAACGTCAAATTTTTCCTTCCAGCACAGAAGCCCAAGACATACCATACAAAACTCGTCGAACATCAAACTTGCATACTGAGGATCGCTCATATCTTCAGGGCATTTTGGCAGGCCCTCTTGTTCGAGAACCTTACGCCAGATCGACAAAGTGGCCCGCGACATGAAAAACTCGCGGAATAATTTAGACACGCGTGTTAGGTTGAGCAGGTCCATGGGATCGATGTACGAGCAAATCTTCATTCAACGTCAGTCGTCGAAAACGAGGAGAGAGAGAGGATCGTTACCTCAAGAATGATGTCCAGCGGCAGTCCCACGAAGTTCTTGAGTATCATAGGAATTGCCGACTCCTTGACCACTTTCGGCGTTGCCTTCTTTGTTGCAGGCGAGACGATGAGAGCAAGGCGGTCTAACGTTGGGTCATAAGAACGTATCTAGCAGTCGTTGGACGAACTACTTCACACACTGGAAAGGAACGGTGCCTTATTTTTCTGAATAGTCGTGTCGCTGTTGGTCTTCTTAATTAAACTAATCTGCGGTGCTGCTTCAGGAGGACCTGTAGTTGCAGTAGACGCTTGTGCGTGAACTTGGACTGTCATAACTATGGTGTCAGTCCACCGCAAGTTTCGGGAGACAGTGAGAGAGTGACTTACCCGTTGACAATACAGGGAGTGTTACAGGATTCAATTTGACGGCGTTGGCACTACTACTGGCTGAGGCAACATCCGGATTGCACGTCCCGGTCAGCTCACCAGCTGCCGCACCAGACACTTCAATCCTGCCTCGAAATTCTTCCCGAGACTCCTGTACCTCTACAGAGGCATTGCTTCTCGAAGTGGGCCTGGCAACCCGAGAGTTGGTTGACTTCTTAGCGGGTCGTGTGGACTTCGTAGTGGCGGTACTTGTCCCAGTTGCTGCCTTCCTCGGACGCGTGTTGTATCTTCGATCTTGAGTCAGCGGCGCATTTGACGTAGCTGTGGTATCTTTGGGCATGTTGCTATAACGGCGGTAATATGCTCGACGTTGCGAATGAGGAGGAATGAAGGTGGTAGGAGTCGTTACGACTCGGCTGCTGTCAGAGCATCGGACTGGACACGGTCATGTGATCGTGGCGCGTCGCCCCTAATGATGCCGAATCCGTCGAGAGCCGCAGAGTAGGGACAACATAACCATAGGAGCAACGGTTCTACATTTTTCATTCTGATGGCATATTTGCATAAAAAACGCAGCCTTGTTCACAGCATCCTCAATGTCAACACTGACGTGAGGTTAATGCTATGCTTGATGTAGGCGGACAATGAGGTCCGCTCCTCGCGAGAAATACTTGGCCGAGAGGAAATCATTTACTACCTATTATTGTCCTATCTACGGCGATTCCATGATCGACTAGTGACTGGCGGGTAATCTGAGTGTGGGGCGCCTCTCCATTTATGGTAGCTTGCTTTCCCAATTTAGCGTGTACCAGGCCGTATCTGGTCGTCTATCACGGAGAGTCCTCAATTATAGACAATTTAAATACAGGGTCTAGAGGTCCAAGACGCACTCCGTTTTTTTTCACCATTACGACAGAAGGCTCAGTCGGTTGAAACTTGAGACCCTAAAAAAAGTCCCATTTTCATAGTGGGACAAAGACGTACTTTCACCTTTACCGTACTTTCTCTGAAATCACATGTAATTAGCACACTTATTGTTTGCACAGGAGGTATTCATGGTTTTCTGAGGGGTGCCCGCGACGACTATGTTCCTCGAAAGGTATTCTGGTTGATCATCGCCTTTCAAAGCTTCAAAGCTTCATGATTTGCTCCTATCCCTCAGGGTGTCACCCGCCTTCAAATTCAAATTGAATTGCGCTCCAGCAGGCTCGAGGTCTTCTCGAGGCAATTTAAGATAAGTTGATCGCCGTTGGGCGGCTTATCCTAACTAAATTAGGTAGCTCATTTGTGGATGACCGCTGTGTCGCTCGAGAAGAAATATCCGAGGACGACGTGGCGACTTATTTCTCCGAGTCGTAGGACATACTATCTTTTCCTTGAATATATACTTCCTTGCCGGCGGCTCGATCCTTCTGTGAACCTTGGGCGAGGACCCAATCGCGCGGGCGCTTGCCCGGCCAAGTCCGAGCCGCTTAGAGCGCTTACCATTCGACTCTTAGTTTAAATCAACATCTGATCAACATCCAGTCAACCCGACAATTAATTATGTTATTCGGGTGTCTAAGCCCCAAGTATGAGCTTCTAGCGCGTTTTTACGATGCCAGTTCACGGCAGCGCCCGTCGGCGCTTGAGAAAACTAGGCAGAGTTACCTCCCGACGAGCCTCAAAAAACGTATAAAAGACCGAAGGTTTTCAGAGCAGGCTCCTCAGTCAACTCCCTGACTTCGATCGCCTTCAGTTACCAAGCTTCAGTGCAGCCTTCTATCTTCGATAATGTTCTCTAAGATCGCTCTTCTCACCGCTGCCGCTATGTCTGTCTTCGTCGCTGCTTCCCCTGCTCCTGACGGTTCGGAGGGCGGTATCCACAACTCGTGCAACACTGGTCCGGTCCAATGCTGTTCGTAAAATTCTCCTGATTTTCTTTCCTGTTTATTTAAATAATTTTCCTCGTTAATAGGCAACTCTCTCTACGAGAACGAGAGTGAACAAGCCAATCTTCTCATCTCTCTCGTGGGCGCAGTTGTAGGCCCCATAGGAACACAGGTCGGCGCGAACTGCAGTCCTCTCTCCGTCATCGGAGTTGGTAGCGGTGCCTCATGGTAAGCGATCTTCCTCTGGGGAATGCCTCTAGAACTTTGATGCTATTCAATGTGTTCAGCAACACCCAACCCGTCTGCTGCAGCAACAATAAATTCAGTCAGTGCTACTTTTCTAATTTAGTCGGCCGTTGTTGACAGTAAATCATAGACGGTCTTGTTGCCATCGGTTGCTCGCCAATCAACGTGAACCTTTGAGTTCGGGATTTAGAGGCAGGTACAGAGGAGCGCTCAACGTAATACGTACACGTTGTTGGTTGATGTTTCTAGGATATTGGATCTCGAATTGACCTACTATGTTGCATGTTGAGGCGATTTGATTGTGCTGATGCCTACTAGCGTCGCCCGCGCTGCGTCAACCCTTTTTTAAATGAATTTGGGGTTTGTGTTCGTACCTCAATGTCGTGACCGATGCGGATTTGGAAGAATGTTATACATTCAGTGAGGTTTAGTGGTTATAATATGTAAGAGGGGTGGCAAGATATAAATCATAACAATTAAGGTCGACAAATTGTAAGGAAAGTGTTCACCACAAAAACCTAGAACTATTGAATGAAAAATATAGCAAGGTTATAAATAAGAAGCAAGGAGGTTAGATTTCAAAGACATGAATGTCGTCAAGGAAGGACCAGGCAGGAGCCTTGCCGCCATGGAAAGCAAGGACATCATTACCAGCTCCAGTAACCTGGAATTGGTAGTACTGCCAGTTTGAGAATCCCGGACGAATAGTGGTCACGATGTTGCCATTCCAAAGAATGTCAACGAACGCATCTGCCTCGAGAACCGGGCCGGAGAACGCACTGGCGTGGAAGAACGTGATGAGGTACGCCTTTCCGGTGACGGTGTTGAGAGGATGGGTAGGGGTAAGAGTTCCGGGGAGGTTGTCGGCGCCAGTCGCGGATCCCAGCAACGCTACACCATTTCCAGCGTGCGCATAGGGAGGGTAGAAAAAAATCGTAGCGTCGAGGCTGCCTCCAGGAGGACTTGTGCCGATCCAGTTGGAGTACGAGGCGGAGAAGCAGAAGTCGTTACATGCATTGTACCCCTCAAAGCCTCCGTCGATGACGTAGTTCTTGCGCTTGTAGCCACGGGAGAAGGTGACCTTGAGATTGCCTTGGCCGGTGTTGACAGCGGTGGACTCGTCAGCCACAATATAGTACTGGCGAAGGGGTTTATTAATCGGCAATAATAGACCCAACTAAAAGCACATACCATACTGCACGTGTACGTGGTTGGGTCACCGTTGACAACAGCACGCCAGATATTGAAGTATTGGCAGGCGCCACCATTGCCATCGGGGCCGCGGTTATTGCATTCTCGCGCGCAGGCGTCGACATCGTATCTGTCGAGGAAGGCGAAGCCCATGTACTAGAAATAACGATCAGAATATATAAATCACAAAGATTACAGTAAACGTACACCTGGGGCATTGTTGGCACCATTCGTAGGACCAAAGACAAGTTCATAACCTTCGGGATCCTCGGGATCAACGAGAGTCTTTGAAGCATATCCACTGCTCTGCTGGATGTACGTCAGACCAGCTGGAGGTGGTGCGAGTTGCTGCCCTCCGAAATTGGTCTTCTCCGCGGCCGTATGAACGTCGCCGTAAACAGCACACTTCAAGTTGGAAGTCTCGTGATGGTCCAATCCGGGGTTGTTGAACTCGTAATATATGTTGGCAAACACTGCAGACGGGGTCAGTCGGTCGACCTTGTGGCTAAGAGGCATATAAACATACCGCATTGCTGTACAGTGTCACAAAAATTTAGATACGCGGCGACGTTGTAGGTTGCATTGGGTACAAGAGTGAAGGTTAGGTATGCAGTGCCTTGAATGGACGCGTCGCGATCTTCAGGAGCGAATCCCGTGCCGGAGAAAACGAGCTCGTAGTCATCGACGCTTCTTCGTGACGACCGCTGAAGGATGGACCGTCGCGTGCTAGTGGAGTTGGCGTCATGCATACCCGCTGTGGTGAGCTGGCCATCCACGGCAGTAACTGCAGTGTCTGGAATAGGCTGGTCGGGTTCGCCGGTGGCGCCAGCCTTCTGGTCAACGACAGCAGCAGTGTCGACGATGGTCTGGATGTCGGTCAGGGTTCCATCCAACACCAGGGCATTAGCAGGGTCGTTCCAAACACCCTTGGACGCGGGTGGAACGACCGTGGTAACGGCAGCTGGGAAGAAGGTTTTCAGATGTCCTGAGGTATCCGGAATGGGCATGGCGCACCTGAGACGGACACAGCGAGCAAAATGCTCGTAAAGAGACGACTGAAGGTTCTCATGTTGGGGAGAGAAAGCAAAGTCCGTGAGGAAGAACCTTGAACTGGATTCTCCTCGTCCGTGAAGGAAGGCTTTATAGGCACGTAAGAACCGAGTGGCCGAGAACGTGCCATGCTCGCCCTGGGATTGACATGATAACCCAACGGCACCTTGCTTCTGCACATCCTGAAAATGGCAGGTGAGAAGGACGGAAATATGATCGGTCATAGAGGGAAGCTCATTCAATGGATTGAAGTCATCATGGTTCCTTGACGAGAATAACCAACGTCAAGGAAGGGGAGGATCGATCTCCATTCTTGCCCTTTGTCCGGGTAGCAGTGGGTGTTTACGAAATTCGTGGCGGATGGGCTATCGCGGATCTGGGCGTAGGTATTCCTCAGCTGGCTCTATAACCCAGGCAAGGAGTGCACCCATCACTCTGGAGCAGGATAGAAAGGAGGATGCTCCTGCAATCACGCTTCTGCGTCACAGAGTGGCACTGCCATCGAGAGCTTGTCGACCAGTCGAATCCGAGAACCACGATCAACGAGATACTTGACTGCTTAAACCTCCGAAAACTGGTCCTTTGCTGCAATTGACACGGACACGAGCCAGTCAAAAGGCTGACATGGGCAGAGTTTTGAGGTCGGAGAAGTATAGGAACCTGGCCGCAGAATGACAGAGACAGCGAGGCACCACTGCCAGTGTTGTTCCGTGTCGAGTATCATCGAGAACGCGTCCAATGGGTGGATCCGGACAGATAGGATGAAGCATACCCTAGCCCGACGCTCGCCACACCCTGCTCATTGCAGAAGGGACCTGAGAATTACGTGTGTGAAAGAACAATCATTATGGATCATTTTCGTTGACCGACATGTACTGACCGACATGTACCCACGATTTAACGTCATCTTATTTGTTTTCTAAACCTTTGTTTCCCTTTCGGTACTCTTCATCGTTCTCGCGATTCGGCCAATTGGCTCGCATGTTAGCTAAGCTTCCCGGAAAGAATTGTGGATAGTGTCGAATTTTGGGAGAAAACTGTCATCTAGTTCGACGCGAAGGATAAGTCGGCCGGATGCGCCTAGTGTCGAACTTGGCGCGGCACATCGAGTGTCAACCACACGGGCAATGGCAGCGTCTATGATGTCTGTTTGACGCCCTCGGAAGATCGCGCTTCTCTCGGAACAAGCAGCCCGGTTGGGCCCTCTTCCAACCCAAAAACAGGATCTAGACGAGAGGTTTACTGGCTTGAAGCTGAGTCCGGGGTGGAGAAGAATGGAAAAAGGTTCCTGCCGTGGGTCGAGCTGAACGAATGATATCACATCGAACCCGAGGCTGTTGCTTTCTGTTGGGCTGTCTGAAGACGGATGCGTTGATGCTTGCCGGTGTTAATAGCTAAAATTAGCACGAAGACGCGTGTGGGGAGTGGAACTTCGCTCCGAGGAAGCGGGCTTGCGGAGAGAAAGGCGTTTTGCATGTTCTTCACCTGGGAGGATGATATTGAGAATCGGTGTGTAATGAATGTAATGCATTGGAAAGCGTCATTTGGACCTAGAGCTCTGGTGCCGGACAATAACCGCATCTATGGGACCAGTGTCTCTCCTGAAGATAAAATTGAGGCACCAGGCTCAAGTGAACGGGGGCGTGGACCACCCTGGAATCTTGTTACTTATTCCAAAGTTCTAAGTTCTGTCTGTCGAAGACTTGCTAGACCCGAGTGCCTGACCTTTCCGTTCTGACTCTGCCGCCGTGAACAATGAGGTTCACAGAGAGGCCATGAAAGAGCGGTGGGCGTTGTGGTTGACACGTGCCAAGCCACTAAGCCTGGTCCAAAGGAAACTTGAATCCCACAGCACCTTAATTATCTTGATTAGCATGCTGGAACAGACCGCGGCACTGATCGATTATTGGCACCTATTGGTGGCTACGGTCTTTTCGCTGAAAGATAACCAGTCGAACAGACCCCTGTCTTGCGCTAGAAACAACCAGACTTAGAAAATATAGATCAGCTCCTGCGTCAAGAAACGAGGCCGAAATAGTGGCTAAAATTTGCTCAATGGCTAGGCAAGTGGGTACCCACGAAATGGAAAAATAAGAAGACACAGACATTGGCGGAGGACAGAACTTGGACAGCCAACACGCAAGCACGTCGACTTTGTCAGCGCTTAAAACTTGAAGTATTGATAATTCATGCGCGTTTCTGACTCGTGTTCCGACGGTTGGCGTCCGAGGGCCAACACACTGAGAGACAGATCGGCGCTAGAACCGTAGTTCTATGAATCCAAGCGTGTCGAATCGACTCCTTGTGTCCAGGATAGACCTCCTCTCCGTCGGATTCAGGCGATTGTTGATGCTCAGTATTCGAAGGTTCTTGTAATGCGGCGATGGTTTGAGACCGAGAATGCAGGTCTCTGCGTCAGATAACGAAATAGAGGGAGGCCCATGTGGCAGGCGGACGCAGACGAGCATGTGCTACGCGGCTAGAGATAGGTCTCCTTGTTCTCATCGGAGTCTGTTAAAGGAGGAGAATAAAGAAGGACGGAATTTCATGTCGCATGACCATGCAGGGCGAAGAGCTTGGTCGAAGGATTGGCGTCCAGATATTTGCACAGGGAGTAGATCCGTCGGAGAATGGCTTCCTTTCGAAAGACGGCCGTTGTGTGAGTGGAACGATGGTTTGAGAGAATGTCGTTTTTATCGTCACTTGATGACCTTCCGGGTTCTTGATCAAGAGAGGAAGCTCGGGCATATCGAAAGAACAAATGAGCGAGCGCGCATGGGTATCGACACGCTGGCGGGCTTGATCTTGCTGATGAGAATGAGAAACGAAGTAGAGGACCATTTTTGAGCCGAGGACGTCCGAAGATTTGGGGTGACGGGGTAGACCAAATCGCCCGAACGGCCACGGGTAATAGTAAGAGTTAAAGTGTGGACTAGATCCACGCTTGAGGCCGTCGAGTTGAGATAATGGCGTTTAATGTCCTATAGTATGCTTATCTGGAAGCGGCGTTGATAGGCTCTGGCACACTTTTTTAGAGAAGCCATGTATTTGTTGGGTCGGCTGATGAGCAGTAGCATCGAGGGCTGAATGTATGCTCATTCAATTTTTTGGGACAAAGCAATTATATAGAGGCACACGTACACGTAGTTGAGATAATTCAACTGCATCGCTGGGGTCTCCACTTCTGGACCGATGGTGTTGTAAGTGGCTGAGCCTTGGATTGAAGACGTCTCTTGTGAAGCAAATAGATGGATGCGCCACGCCACGCCATGCGATGTCGGACGTTGACTGCAAAATAACATGACAATCAGTAAATAATGTCCAGAGAATGATGTAGAGATAACCAGAGGTTCCACTCACCTGAGAGTTACATTGCTCGATCCCTCTTTTACCGAGAGAGGACATACAGTATTCCACTGTACAAAACAACATGAGATCTAAACGGAGATATGAAAATGACAACAATTACCTCGTCTAGAGGAGCCATAACGACCGTTTATGCAGTGGCGCACAAAATAAGGATAGAGGTTGACTGGAAAATTCACTAGCGATGTTCCTTGTTAGCATCGGAGCGGACTAGAGTGCCCCAAGAGTGCCCAGTCGGGAAAAAGCGTAGATGAAGCTTATCGACAAACATCTTCCCCGTGGCCTCGACCCAACAATGAATTGCTGATAATCTTGAACTAGGTACCGGCGGCATCGAAATAGGCAACATACTGACTATTTTGCGAATCTAAATTGCGTGATGCCAAATCCTGAGGTCCTATCAATTCCTCGATCCCTAGAGTAATGCGGGTTGTACGGGTTGGCATTGCGAAAGGCTCTTACGGCCAACTATAGTAGATAGATCTAGTAAGGGCACAGTAAGTAAAGTAAGACTAAATGCAAGAGCATATAATTTACTGTGAAATGGAAAACTTCGGGCTAAAACTGGATGATGAAAACTTGCACGGATAGCATTTGCTGTCGCCAGGGAATAGAAGTTCTGCGCATGGATATATGCGCGCGAGACGAGATAGAATGCAACTATATGCTGAGTATCAACATCCAAAGGAATAATATCAAAGAAATGCCTACCCACTGCCGGGCTCTAAGACAAGTGTCACAGTCAGGGTTGGTGAGACGTTCGCCTTGAAAGAAATAAGCGTCGCTGAGGATCCTGAAAGATCCGACTTTACAGTGAACGCTTGATCTCCTTCCTGACGCTCAAATTAGGAGTGCCGCTAGGTAATAGGTTCGTTGACCAACAGAACGATGAACTGCACTTACATGCGATACGCTAATGAGTCTTCCACTTTCAGACCATGGATCCGCTTCTCACTGGCTTTCTGCTGACCGGAGTAGGCGCCGCCTCTCGGGTTCAAAGCCTGTCAGATCCCTCTCGACATGAACCTCGATTCTTGACGTTGTGCACTTTCGCTCGCCATTGTCCACATTTTCGATTCCTGATGACATATTGATCAGCGATGTGGTGCCGTGGCCACCGCCAGGACCAGAATGAAGGGCGTGGAGACTCTACTGACCTCGTTAAATAATGCACCATCGATAAACCCCGCGGTAATCAATTGGCAGGCTGAACGCTAGTGAGACGCCTCACGGCGGGAAGTGTCGGATGAGAACGTGAAAGCTCCTGTCTGGAAGCGACTCGGCAGCAAGAAGGTCGAATCTGGTTTTTGGAAGAAAAGATGCAATTGGGTTATTCTCGGGCTCATCTTCAACTAGGATGTGGCCTTGGTAGTCGAAGAAAAGGTGATTATCTGCGCCTTGTTGTGATCCCTCGATGACAAACATCCAAACAAGGCTACAAATTACCACGTGAAACAGCGACGACAACATTCTTGCTTTAAGCTTACCACATTACGACCCTCTTTAAATCTCCCTTTTGGTGACTTTACGCTTCATGCTTTAACAAATAGCTTTCGCTGACATCGTTGGATAGCGGATCGCTCAGCAGAGCAGGGCCCCAAGATATTGGTCGAGGAGAAGATATCACGACGAAGTTTGTTATGGACCACACACGCCTAGGTGAGCCATAAAATCTGCGTGGGTGTCGTTGCTCTTCGTCGGAAGCTTCAATATTCTTCATTTTCATTATTTGGATAGTGGCGAGCCTTTGCAGTTGTCGTCGTTTTCCTTTCGATTCGGGACGAATGCGGATGAAAGTGCAACAGCGCATTCATGTTGAAGAAACACTTCACCACGACGATTACGCTGAAGTTTCAATAGTGGCTCGGGACTGACTTTTGCGATGGTAGGGCCATTTCCTCCTAGAATCTATATCGTCTAGTTGTCAAGATCTCGTTGCGATTCCACCCCTCAAAAACTCACGACACAATCTCGACTTCACAGATTGGCGGTGTCCACCACACCCGATTGTGACCGCGCGACTGTGCAACATATGTGCAAATTCTAAAGTGGTAATTGGATACACACCCAATCCTGAGGTGCGTATAGGACACCCTTCTACCAATTTCTTTCTTTTCTGCAACATCCCTCGAAATCTACGACGCCACAAACATTCTATTCGCCTTTATTTTTGCGAGGAAGTGCGAATGCTAACGTAACATTGGACTTGATAACAGGCCCCATTTAACGTTCATAGGATGGCACTTACTGGCAAGGAACTCGGTACAGATGTTGGGCAATGGCTGGACCAAGTGTCGCCGCTGGCGCTATTAGGTATGTTCTTTCGTCGGTCCTTGCTTTCGTATTTTCCCTTCTTTCTTTCTTCTGCATGCTAGCAGATCCTTTACATATTTTGTGCTTTATTTCCGCCGAAGGTCGTCGAACCGCTCAGTATTTGATCCAATACCGCCCTGATTGGCCACGTTGGCGATGGTTAATTTTGGTGCTTGAGATCGAGTTTAGCCCTTTCATTTTCCATTGGATAACGTCTTGATGTTCGGTCGAGATTGTCGAGTCTTCATCCCTTAACTAGACGAATGCCTTTTCATTTTCTCCCTTCTACAGAACCCTCGTCAACAGTTTCCTAGGATTGCGGCTTAGCAGTCTCCGTTGCCATCGGCAGCACGCACTATCGTACGGAAGTTTACGCTTCCTCCCATGGCGGAGCCGGCACGGGCCGGTCGCCCAGAAGATGGCATACAACGGCCTGGGGCGATCGCCCCGTCCTTCTGTTGCTCGGCATTAGGTTGGGCATCGAAGGAGTGAATCCGACTCATTATGAGACCATTACGGTGTGTTTCATAGTTTTGAAGATTCAGAGCTATGATATTTATTACGACCTTGCACAGCAATTGTATACATTCCCGCAATATGTAGGCATCGCTGGCGGTAGGCCAATCCCTTCCTACTACTTCGTCGGGTCGCAGGCAGACAGTCCGTTCTACCTCGATCCGCACAATACCTGGTCTGCAATTCCTCTACGGCCGCCACCTCCACAGGCGATCCTCGAGGATCGTCGAGCTGATGTACGAACCATTTTTCGTTGACGCCGACGTTCTCTTCCTTCCTCTCCTTCTCTCGTTCTCGGTCGGGGTCCGGACCTGAATCAACTTCTGCGTAACTCTCATCACCCGCACCAACAAACGCCATCTGTGCTCTCTTTGATTGCACGGCGGTGCCAGCAATAACACTACCCATCGAACGGCGACACCAACACTCCAATGTACACGGACACCAACATCACCCTCCCCAGTCCGGACAGGCTCCTCTAATTTCTCATACCACGCTCCTGTCTCGCCCTCGCCTCTTCAACATCAATTCTCCAACTCAAATGCTGACTCGAGCGGCGACACCTTGTTCGACCGGTCGTACGAGTACCAGTATTCTGTGGAGAAGTACTCGGGCTAAGCTTCCACCAAGCATTCACACTCAAGGTCTCTACCACCTCATATCCAGGACCGGGTAGTTACGGAAGATGGCGGTCCTCATCAGCGAGCCAGACCGCATTGTCGCCGTCGAACTCAGAGATGGACCATCGCGAGTTGGGCATGTTTGGCGGATCTGGCTCGAGAGGCAGCACGAACAATAGCTTCAGTGCGAGTAACAGCAACTCTACTAATAACAGCTTCGATATGAATGCTCGTGTGGGCGAAAGTGGCAGTGGTCTGGACCCGGTACAGATGCACTATTGCGCGGCGTACAGTGCTGCCGATCTCAAGACGTTCCATCGCGAGAGAGTTCGGAAGATGCCACTGAGTGGGCTTGATCCCAGTATGCTGATTGGGTTCTTGTATTCCGACGAAGCAGATTGGTGGGATTTCAAGAGAAGAGTCGGAGAGGTGAGCTGCTGTATCGATTCTGTGTTTTCTTTCCTCTCCTTTTCTGCGTACGTTTCTGATGGATTTTTTCTCTTCCTAGCTTCCACGTACGATATTTCCGTGCAGGAGGAGCTGCCCATGTGGCCCTGAGAGTTGGACGACAACATAGGCTTGGAGTCAAATCTCGGAGCCAGAAGACAATAACCTTAATAAGGATGGTGTTGAGGTCGATGGCCGAGGCGAAGGCGACGATTCGGAGAACGAGGACAATGAAGATGATGGCGACGGCGACAACGAGCAATTCTTCGATACCCAGTCGAGCGGTGCAGGCAGTGGCCAGGAGCGCAGCGAGCGAGGGAGGAGTGACGTGGACATGGAGGAGGATATGGTGGATCCGGTTACTCCTGGCCCGGGTTCGAAGTTTGATGTACCCCCCTGAGATAAACGTAGCCCGAAAGGGCCAAGAGGACAAGGGAATTGAGCTCAGACCGGAAGACGGAGAAGGTTTCGAAGATGAAGGTGACGATACAGAGGACGACTGGGTTGATCCATCGCTGCCGACGCCGACGTTGTCTGGACCTTCGACTTTGTTGAAGGATCATCGACCACTGCCGCCTCAACCAACACCGGTGTAGACGAAGGAGCTATCGCCATCGCCTCTTTCCTCCTCCAACTTTCCGCCGCTCGCAAAGGGCAAACCGTCCTCATTGTCCAAACATGCATCAAGTTCAGGAAGTGGCAAGAGATCGAAGAGGACCCACAAACAGATACCCATTCCTGTTCTGCTGTCCGCCTTCCTCCCACTACCAGCAGCAACACCAAGAACACTACCCTTTTCCCGGTTGCTCCGGCAGACGACGGGGCGGATTCACCTCATGGAGAGAAGAACTGGTCGAGAAGCTCGTCCACGAAGGATGACGTCAACGTAGGAGGCAAGAGAATGCACACTGCGCGGGCCCGTGATGGCGGACGGACGCTAAGCATTGGGGTAGAGGGCATCTTGACAGATGATTAACTTGTATGAAATCCGCGTCTGGTGTTCGCGCTGGCCGTGGTGTATGTCTGTATTTCTTTCCGTTGCGGTGGGTAGGACTGAAGCGGTATATCCGCATGCCATTTTATTCTCTCCTTCGTTTCTGTTCTCTTGTTCTTTTCTGTCCATATTTTCAATCCTTTTGTATGCTCAACACCGCTTCCGTCCTGACGTCTCAAGATCTCGCCTGCCTACTTCTTCTCGTTGATCCTATCTGATCTTTATGTACATTATGTAAGTCGTTCGTAGGCAGTTTTCGCGGGAATGTACGGACGTGTCTACTGCTATTTTTTCTCTACTCATATCGAGATTTTTGTTCTAGCTCTTAGATTGTCTTGGCAAACAACAGCGGGCACGGCTAAGCCGGGCCGATAACTGGTCCGCCCTCCTCTCCTCAGTTCAACTCCAGGCCTCATTAATCATTGCTTAAGCTTTAAGGCCTCAGCAGAGATTTGACATCGAAGGCGGGTTATCCCTCTAATTTTCTTGGCCGAGATACGTTTGTTTCTTTGCTTATCAGCCAGAAGTCTAAATTCAAGGAGGTTATGAACATATTGACTAATTAGTTGCAGGACGTCGTCTTACGCCATCTTCTCCTAAAAGCACACACTTCGGATGGCCTTCCAGCATTTGGCTGCCTCGAGCCTTGTTTAAAAGGCGGGAAGATGTCTATCGCCTGAATGTGTCTTCCTCAACCCGACTCTCTCTTATCAGAGACTGCGCGATGAGGATCTCAAGTCTCGGTCTCTGCGTGCTTTTGCCTGTTGTTACTGCATATTCCAACCAAGTGCCACTTGGTGAATATCTCCCAGAAACGACGCAATCACCAGACTACTACCAGTTCAAATGGCCCATCCGGAGAGTCGCTATCATTGGTGCGGGCGTTGGGTGAGTTCTTGTTGTTCATGCTCAACTTGCTCTCCGTGACGGAACTGGCGACAGAGGTCTCATCGCGTATCGCGAGCTCACTGAGACGGGATACGACGTACACTTGTATGAACGTGATGATTCGCCTGGCGGAAACTGGCACTACTCAGAAGAAACACCCGTCGACACCCCAATCCCGAGCGTTGATGTTACGATTGGCGATTATGTGCCGTCGCTCCCGCCAAGAGGTGCTGCCCTTCCGTATGTTGAGGAGTACGACGACCCTGTGGAGAATGAAAGCCGAAAGCGAGCTCATCGAGCACCGAAGCCTATCTGGGATAGTTTGACTTCTAACGCTCCTGCGGTGTGTTCCTTCAATACTGCGAATTAATTATTTCTCATGGGTTCCGTTTAGCCTGTCCAACAAATCCGCGAGCTCCCTTGGCCTGCTGGAACGCCTTGGGGTGCGTTCATTTTATTCCCGCGTGAATTTGCTGAGAACCTGCTGATAGTCCGCCCTTCCAGCTCTTCCTAACCGCAAATTACAGCGATATCTGCGCGCTTTTGCTTCGTGGCATGGCCTGAACAATAACGACAACAATCCGAATGTCTCGTATAACACACGCGTCGAGTTGATAGAGAAGCGCTACGATGCCGACGGCAAGGAGGCAGGTTGGTCGCTGACCCTCAAGGAGCTTATAAGCACCAATAACAACAAGCTCCGGGCGACTTGGGTTAACGAGGTGATCTAACCTTGTCGCCCTCTTGAACGGTGTGCTCATGGCATTATTTCAGGACTTTGACGCCGTCGTGATCGCTACTGGACGATACAATGCTCCGAACGTGCCCAAGATACCGGGTCTGAAGGAATTGGCAGAACGTTTTCCTGAGTATCTCGTTCATTCTCGCCAATACCGTGTACCAGAACCGTACCAAGATCAGACTGTCCTCATTGTCGGAGCAGGAACGAGCGGTGGCGAGATTGCTCGCGACATTATCAAGCATGCGAAGAAGGTGTACCAATCGATCCGTCCGGAGACTTGTAAGCTGTCGACCTCGCTTTCTTGGTTCTTGATGGATGGTTGACGTGAATCTAGTCCCAATTCCTGAACGCCCTCAAGGCATATTCCTGAGTCGTATCCCTCACAATGTCAGCATTGTTGGAGAGATCAAACAGTTTATCACGAAGGGTTCGCAGCTCAGTGAAGGCCTCGTTGAGCTTTCGAATGGCACCGTACGTGTTCCCGAGATCTCATCCCCGTACGATTCAGCCATGGTGCCCCTCACAGGTTCTTACTGGAATAGATCGAATAATCTTCGCGACCGGTTATCGCTACACATACCCCTTCCTACCTCAATACCATAACTCGTCCCTTGGAATAAATGACCACGCCGCGCCGGGTGAAGCCCAACCAATCGTGACCGATGGTACCCACCTGCGCTCTCTATATCTCGACGCGTTCTACATCCCCGATCCCACTCTCACGTTTATCAACGGTACGCCTTGACCAGTCTTTCTGATGGCTCCGAGAGCTTGCCTGACGTGATGAACAGCTAATTTTGGGATGCAATCCTTCACCTACGCCGAGTTTCTGTCCTTGGCCATCGCGAAGATTTGGAGCGGCAAGGCCGACTTCCCATCTACGGCCACGCTCTGGAAGAAGTACGCCGAGGTGTACAAGGAGCGGAGAGGATATGGCCGGCACTTCCAATTTCTAGGTGCTGTGAGGACGCGGGGTATGTAGACCGCAACTGCCACAGACTGCGCTGATTGAGCGACTGGCTGGTATACAGAAGGCCTTCGTTTCTTCCAAGGCTGGCTCAACGACGCCGCTGTCAAGTATGGCGGTAAACAGGTCAGTCACAATTATGAGTGACTGCTGCGATACATCCTGACTCTTCCGCCTACTCTAATTTTAGATCGACGGTCTACCCAAAGAGTACGTGGCAGTCCTGCTTCGCTGTATAATGGTTCTGATATCTCCCTGCAGCACCGCCGAAGTCAGTGCTGTATGGATTAGAGCACGTTTTGGCGCCAATGGTAACTACGGCATAAATGCCGTTGACGTTGGGCGCCTCTCCGCAGCCGGCTTCAATACGACCGGCTTCGAGGACGTTTCGATTGATGGGACGGAAAGTTGGGCACAGGATCTCGTGTACAATGACTACTGGTAGGCTGATAGTGGTGTACATACATGTAGTTTGTTTTTTTCCCTATTACGGATACAAAAGAACGAGACGAGATACGAGTAACTGGTTCCCTACTTGATTAAGGTATTCCGTGGTTATAACGGCTAAGCTAGCGTAAGTAGATAAGAAAATGAAAGATTTCTTTCTTCAAAGATGTTCTGAAAGCGGGAGGACTATTGTTCCAATGTCGAGCATTCAAGGGATTAGAGGGGTGTGAACGAAAGGCATAAAGTTAGTAGGGGGCCAGTTTCTGGACAGTTTTACCGATTATTATGAGGCGCAGATCTCTTCTAGTTGCGTTCTGACTTCTGTCATGTTCGGGCGCTCTGAGGGATCGAAAGACCAGCATCGATCAAGCAGGTATTTCACCCGCGGGTCAAACGCCAGACACAGGTCACCCGCAGTGCCTGCGGGTGTGATGCCGTTCTGCATGTCCTTGATCACTTGCGCATCGCGTATGCGGTGCTCATAAGGTATGCGGCTGGTGAGAAGCTTCGCGTCGAGGCATATTAGGATGACTGCTGCGAGACAATTAGGAACGGCGTACTAACCTCAAATGCAGTGCATCCGAACGACCAGACATCAGATGTCGTCCTGGCAGGCCCCTCCTCCTCCAGGTATTCAGGTGCTTGCCACCTTAGAGGACCTACGTCTTGGTTAGAAAGGGTGAATCCTGTGGGTCGGCCAAGATCTTCGACCAGTTGCGAGAGTCCAAAATCGCAGATAGCGGCTCGGCCTTCGTCCGTGATGAGAACATTGTTCTGCTATGCTTTAGTGACTTGAAGGAATGAAACAAAAGGAGATGTCCCACCCCTTTCAAGTCAGCGTGGACGATGGGAGGCTTGTGTGTGTGGAGATACTCCAAACCGCGAGCGACGTCGAGTATCTGGTTGCACCGCGGGTCTCGGCAACGGGCGCCTAATTTAGAAATCACGAGGTACTCACGAGCCGCACTCTATCTGCCTCCGGATTCTTCTTCGACAGATACTCCGCAGCGCTGCCGTTCTCATACCATTGCATGACCATTGCGGGTCTGCCAGACATATGGTAGGAGGTCCCAAATAGCTTGATGATGTTGGGGTGCTCGAGGCGATGCCAGACATACACCTCGCGATTTAGGCGCTACGACCGATATTAGAGCAAAATTAATGAGGGGCACCGATTACCTCACCTTTCGTGCCCGAAGGCCGTCTTGATCCTTCTTCGTGAGGATGCGAAGCAATTTGATGGCTACCTGGGTCCAACAAAGTGTGGGTCGGCGCCATTCGGACAGAACAACGATCAGAACGTACCACCACCACCTTCTCTTCGCCATCCTCGGACTCCCTCTTGTACCAATCTCCCTTATAAATATCCGAAAGACCGCCCTGCGCTACCGCGTACGGCGATACGGTAGTCACATACTTGGTCAAGTCAACGACACCGGCGATCGGCGAGCTGAGGGTAGATGCAGGTGTCGCAGGTGACTGGGACTGAGGAGTCGCAGATTCAGACGCCGGTGGCGGAGACGGAGACGTAACCCTAATCTTGGGGCGAACTTCGATACGCAGGTTTGGCGCCGAAAGCCGAGTAGAGACGGATTGTTGACTGCGGTATGGGCGGTGGTACTGCATTGGACCATAGTCACTCTGAACATCCTGCTGCAGGCCCTCAGGCGAGGTCACAATGGTCAGCGCCCTCGCCCTCGATCTTAGGACAGGCCGGGGATGAGGAGAATGGAGTGCTAACATCCGCCCGATGCTCGCTTCGAGGTCCTCGGACACACCACCCTCATCGACGACCGGAGACTCTATAGGCATCTGGGCGGAAGGTGGTAGACGGGTGTCGCTAGTCCCAGAGGCGTCTCAAATATATATCCTAGGAACTAAGTTGAAGTAAGTGGAGGGGAGGATAGGGTCTCTTTCCGCCGTGCAGCTTTTGTGCTAATCGCCTTCCCACGCATGCATAGGTCCAAGATAGGAGGACGGCCCTGCATGTGCACAGCCCAGTCGCATGGGCGTTCGAATCTACGTAACTTGTCAGTTATGTCAACGCCGACGTCAGGTGGTCAATAGCAATTATTTTCGAGGCAGTAAAAAGGTGAACCGTGAAGTGCACACTGATTCACTGAAGAACCCAACACCCTCTTGGAACCCAAGATCACAGAGCCAGTACTCTGGGCACTGCACAGATATTCATTGGAACATGAGATGTGGAGGAAGGTCATCCGGGGGCCAAGATCAAGGATTCTCCGGTCCGACCGCGTGGGTTCCACATGATCCAAATCCTTGTAATAGGTGTGTGTAATGGAAAGTTCGCGGGAGGTGACCGTTCAATGACCATGTCATGGTCAGAAGCTCGAAAATATTAGTGGAAACTTTGGCACGGCCGGAGGAAGACTCAAGCGCTTTCAATTCTTACGTGGTTTTTAAGTCGAGAAACTCCTTTCGACGTCGGTGGGCCTCACCGCCGCTAGCGTCTGGTCAAAATCAGATCCGCGGCAGTGTATTTAAATCAAAGTTCTGGTATCCCTAGCTAATATCAACCTGAAGGAAGTGCATAGTAGAACACCAAAGGCTGTCACGATGTACCATGCCTAGAAGAAGTCCGCAAATCCCGAGCTTAGACGTTGACGTTGATGGGCGAGCAGCCAATGGCGACGACACCGTCTACACGTTTTTTTGTAAATCGACTTGGGATGGTAATAGGGACAATAAGACTTACTGAAGCTGTTGTTACTGCAGCACACAGGTTGGCTTCCGCTGGATCCATCCGCCAAGTTAGCCGTGAGCCAAATACAAAGAGACGAGTTCAATCACCATGAAGCGCCGCTACCGAGTCCAATGGCGGTGATAGGGCTACATTGCGCACCGACGTACGCTCCGACTGAGTCAACAGCTACACCAACGAGGGCGGCGAGAATATTAGCATCCTTCGACTCCTTCTTGTGGAGTGAGTTGCCTAAGTGCGGAGAGAAATCAACCAATTGCTAAGAGATAAGAGGACGCAAGAGCGCACAGCATTGAACGGGGCCAGTGTTGCAGGAGTTGTGGATACCGCCCTCCGAACCCCCAGGAGCAGGGGAAGCAGCAACGAAGGCAGCCATAGCGGCAACAGTGAAGAGAGCAATCTTGGAGAACATTGTCGAATAAAGGCTGCGCTGAAGCTGGGTAGCTGAAGGCGGTCGAAGTCGGGTAGTTGACTCAGGAGCCTGCTCTGAAAACCTTAGGTCTTTTATACGTTTTTCGAGGGTCGTCGGGAGCTAACTCTGCCTTGTTTTCTCAAGCGCCGATGGGCTGCCGTAAACTGTCAGCGGAAGAACATGCTAGAAGCTCGTACTCGAGGCTTCGACGCCCGAATAACATAATTAATTGTCGTGTTGACGGGATGTTGGTTTAAACTAAGTAAGAGTCGAATGATATTATAGTAAGCGCTCTAAGCGACTCGGACTTGGCCGGGCAAGCGCCCGCGCGTTTGGGTCTTCGCTCGAGGTTCAGAGGATTGAGCCGCCGACAAGGAGATATTTTTCAAGCTAAAAACAGTACGTTCTACGAGAAATAAGTCGCCACGTCGCCGTTGGGTGGCACTTTTGGAACGAGACAATGGACAACCACAAATGAGCTACCTAATTTAGTTGGGTAGGCCGCCCAAACGGCGATCAACCCATTCCTGCTCGAAGTTAAGGTGACCTTGAACCTGCGTGAGTGCAATTCAAATTGAATTTGAAGGTGGGTGACACGATTAGGGGTGCAGTAGACGGTGAAGGGTGAAGATCAGCCAGAATCCCTTTTGAGGAACTTTTTCGTAGGCTGGGGTCATCGTGAGCACCTAGAGAAATATTATAGTAAAGGTGAAATTAGGCCTTTATCGCGTTATGAAAATAGGACATTTTGAAGGGTCTCAACGGACTAAGCCTTCTATCATGATAGTAAAAAAAGCGGAGAACATATGGACCTCTATCATATACATACCCTGTATCTAAGGTGTCGATGGACGGTGCCTTCATTATAGGCGTGAAAATACGACCTGGTACATGCTAAATCGGGAAAGCAAGCTACCAAAAATAGTGAGGCACCCCACACTTGGATGATCCAGCAGTCACCAGTCGATCATGGGATCTCTCCAGATAGGGTGATAAGAGTACCCTCTTGATCAAGTAGATTTCTTGCGACTCCCAGACTCCCAGACCCCACTTTCCGCCTACATCAAGCATGGCATCGGCTGGCATCGCCTATGCATCAGCGTTGAACGTTGAGGACGCAATTAACGGGGCTGTCCCTTTTGCACGTTCATATGGTCTTAATGAGAGATATGCGGATCTGCAGCTCTGAATGTATTCGTGTTAGGGGCTTGACGCGCTGACGCGTCACGATCACCTGACCGTGTCCGCACGACCGCCCCTCATTTGCAACATCGAACATGCTACCGCCGTCACAGCACCATTGCCAAAAGCTACCACAGCTATGTCAAATGCGCAAGTGACTCAAGATCGAAGGTACAACATGCGTCCAAGGATTCAGGAAGCTGGGATTATCAGTCCACATCTCCCACTAAGAAGTCAACAGCTCTCAGGTTGCCTAGACCACACCCAATGCCTCTGTAGAGGACTCGCTGTATGAATCCCGAGGCGATCGGATTGTAGGGTCTGGGGCAGCTGCCAGAGGCACTGGTGAGTTGTCCTCAGCTCTGGGATGTGCAATCCGGATGTCGCCTCAGCCAGTAGTAGTGCCAACACCGTCAAACGTAATCCTGTATCACTCCCTGTATCGTCAAACAGTGAGTCGCTTTCTTATTATCTCCCAAATCACGCGGTGAACTGACACCACGACAACCGTTCAGAAACTGGTACACCATTTCTTTCCAGCGGGTGAACTAGTTCGTCCAACAACTACCGGAGACGTTCTTATGACCCAACGTTAGACCACCTTGCTCTCGTTGTCTCGCCTGCGACTAAGAAGGCAACGTTGAAAGCAGTCAAGAAGTCGGCAATTCCTATGATACTCAAGAACTTTGTGCTGGACCTCATTCTTCGTCGATCTGGCCTGGGGTTCTCGAACAGGAAGGCCTGTCAAAGTGCCCTGAAGATTTGGGCGAGCTTTGTATGCGAGTTTGATGTTCGACAAGTTTCGTATGGTATGTCTTTTGACTATCCTGTTCTCCTGGCGTTCCTTGAGCAAACACATGCGAAGCACTATACTACGGACGATATCAACCACTGGTGTGGGAACCGATTTTATGTGCGGTCAAAAAGGCGTGATGGGGGTGTTAAACTTTATATACACAATTTTTTTGTGTCAATAGAGTTCAAGTAAAGTTACAATAAAATCTTGCTTTCCCATGCTCATAATTTTCCAAAAATCATCACCTTTGAGGTAATTAGTAATGACTAAATTTACCTGTCCTTTTGTTGCTCTGTAAAAGACAATAAAAGCGCGGAATTTGGGACGACAAAAAGGATTGACATAAAGGATTCGGGGATACTATAAAAGGAATGCCCGAGCCCTTTATATCAAATTTTGCTCACAATTTAAGGCATCAATTACCTAACAATTATAGATGAACATAAAGTGTTGATAAAAAGGGTTCGGGCATTCCTTTTATAGTATCCCCGAATCCTTTATGTCAATCCTTTTTGTCGTCCCAAATTCCGCGCTTTTATTGTCTTTTACAGAGCAACAAAAGGACAGGTAAATTTAGTCATTACTAATTACCTCAAAGGTGATGATTTTTGGAAAATTATGAGCATGGGAAAGCAAGATTTTATTGTAACTTTACTTGAACTCTATTGACACAAAAAAATTGTGTATATAAAGTTTAACACCCCCATCACGCCTTTTTGACCGCACATAAAGTCGGTTCCCACACCAGTGAACGCATTCTTGGACGCGCTCTTGGCCGACACTGCCGACTTCTTTACTCGTGTCCAAGCCGACATTACTGGGAAAGTCACGGAATTCAATGCGACATTCCCACATCCGCCGATCCTGAAGGAAGCAAGGATAGTGTTTCAATGCCACAGGCATAAATGTCGAGAGATACGAACGTTCATTCCATTCCACGATGTTGTTGACCACTTCGTCGAGATCCATGCAGACGGAGGCTGGTTTGACGGCCACTCCGAGTCCTTGAAGCCCAAGATAGACAAAGAAATCTTCGAAGTGGGGAGCGATACTCTGAAGGTGCTTGGTCTAGCACAGGACATTTCTTACGAGGAGATTAGTCGGCTGGGTGAGTTTGTCTGTTGGTGTGGGCACCATCTATACCGCGGACCGATGCCTTTTGAAAAATTGGTGAGTTTCTCGGTACGTCAAATTATGACTTACACTTATATTCGGAACCCCTAGGTTTTCCATGTACACTCCGAGCGTCAGTGGTACAAACGAAAGAGGGACGAGGTCTGCTCAGATCGGTCAGGGCTACTTTCCTCCTGTAATACATGTTCTCATCTCTCCGCATTGCAGGGACAATGATGTACACACCCTCCTAGAAGATTCCCAGTGTCAAACGTCTGCGAGACCTTCTACGACGTGCATCTGACGAAGGAGAGTGTGACGAACAGCCCGCAGACGAACCAGAAGCGCATTCAGATAATTTCCCACTGTACGGTTGCCAGTGGTGCTTTAGACTGACCAAGTATATTGGATATTCACGGCTCCGGGATGACGAGACGGTAGATTATCATATGCGTGTTAGGTGAATGCTGGAGCGGTTTGCTTGCGGAAGTTCGTTGTTCACAGGACATCCATTGGTATAGACACGGAATGGACCGAGAGAGGGGGGATTATGTCCCTACAACTACCTTAGATGCTAGCTAGATGCGATTTGGGCCCATTTATTCTATTTGCAATTTTGGATTTAGTACTCTGCGTGTATTCATAAACCTATCATTGGGTACTTGTCGGACCCGAAGATGGTCACGATGTGCAGGACTTCCGTGTCCAATACCGGTGGAGGAAAGCCCGAGCATAAGAACTGTTGACTATGATTGGGTACTATGGTTGGTTGGTCAATACAACGAGAAGATACAGACGAAAGTCGCGGTTTGCGAAATCATGAGCGAGGAGTACTGGAAAGGGCGCCGATACGAATTGTATACGAACGACGTAAATCCTTCGGAACGATCTTGGAAAGGGTAAGTAGTAGTCTACTCTGTAAAATGACGTGAATGAGAGCGAGCGATAGGTGTAGCCAACAGGAGCCACGACGAAGAGCAAAATAATTAGGAGCGAGCACTGTGAAGGGAATCTTGGTTCAAAAATAGATCTGAGCAACCGCAATAGCCAATACATGTTCCGTCACAAGCAATTCGAAAGCCAGAAATACACCAAGTCGGGTAGTCAGGCAATAAACGAGACTCCGCGTTCAGTTTCTCGAGATCAAATTGCGAAGCGTAGTCCGTAGAATCCCAGATAGAGCACGGAAGATAGAAGACAGAGCAGCATTGAGAGTTGACGACGGGATCTAGGGCGAGAGCATATAGTCTAAGATGATCCGAAAGATGGACAAGAAATACCTGTCGCGGCAGTTGGGATAGAGCAATCTTCAGGGTACAGAGCCAGGAATCCGGGAGAGCATATCGGAGAGGAACTTCGAGAGAGAGAAAGAGGCGAGTTCGTTAGATGATCGTCAGAAGCGGTAGGCGAGCAGGTTGTAAGTCGATCCACAGGCGAAGGCGAGCGCATATATGCGCGTTTTTTGGAGTTTCGAGTCACTCTATGATGTGAAGCAGAACATAGCGTATCGGAAGAACCAGTTATATCCGCATCCAAGTCCGAAGTAGCGTATCCAGGAGGCGAAGAAAGATCCGTCACTGAGTTTTTCACCGAGTCGGCGAGCGACGCGTCGTCGGTCGGCGGTTCAACCTTGGGTTCTGGCTCTGGAATCGTTGGAGGCGTTCCGACGTCGATATCGTATTGATCTCTCGGGATTGAGATGCGCCAGCGCTTCGCGAGCTTGCGTCGTCGGTACCACCAGTTATGCACATTACGAGGGTCCAAATTGCGTGACTCCGCCCATGCACGGCGTGAGCTGTGCGTCGGGATGCGCCTATCAGCTTCCCATGCGGAGGTTAGTTCTTCGAAATGCACTCGATGCGTTGGCATGTATTGGGTGTCCTGGATGAAGGTTAGTCTCATGACGGCTCTTGAAACGCGTCGGTGGACGCAGACGTTCTCTATACTCACCGCATTTCCTTCCACCATTTCTGTTTTCAGAACGGGGTTCATGCAGGCGGAATTTTTACGAGAGGGTTGGGAGATTGTCAGTAATGATTGGATAGTGGCGAGAGTCAAGTATGAAAGGAGGGCACTCACAGCGGCGGGCCGGAACCCAACACCTATCAATGACGTCCTTAAAATGGTAAGTAGTTCCCACATTATCCCACTTTCGGCCAAAGACGTCCGACCTGAATCCCTTCAGGCTCGAGTAATTAGATACTGAAGGAGATCGTAGACGACTTGCGGAGAGCCATCGTTGTACTGAGCTCTTGTGTACGCTTCGGGCACCCGACCCCAAGTTGATTCTCAGGTTTTCGCTTGACTTGAACAGAATTTCCTGTGACCGTACATGTCAGTCTTGAGATCCAGCGCCAGGGAGACTTTGGGGAGAAAATCTGTAGCAGAGATCAGTATTATACATTATCGACATGTGCTGAATCGAAGGTATAAAGATATGCATTAGTGGCTTGGAAGAGTTGGGATTGGCTCATTACCAAAAGAACCGTCTACGCAGCCAGGGCACCGACCCTCTTCCTAACCTCTCTCACTCGCTCACTTCCGCGCCCTTTCATCTTCCCAAAGATAACCACTTTCCCCCGCTGTCCAGCCCGGCCCGACCTCCCAGCACGGTGCAAAAAGTCAATCATGTTCCGTGGCTCGTCCACAATGAAGACATGCTTGATCTCTGGGGTGAAGTCGAGACCGCGCGACAGGAGCGACGTGGTGACCATAACGTGCGCCTCGTTCTTGACGTCGCCCGTTGTGGCTTCATGAGCTGCTCGTGTGCGCAGAAAGCCGTCGAGGTGCTTGTTTGACCCGCGCCCGCGGTGTTCGCTCTGGCTTGTCATCGCCACGCTCTTGATACCCTGCTCGGCGAGGTATGCACTGAGCTCGACCACCTTTGTACTCTTGTTACAGAAGATAAGCACTTTCGACAAGGACCCCCTCTCGCCGGCGGAGTCCTCGGCCCAGATGCGACGGATGCGACGGAGGATGTCGGCGAACTTATTCCCGCCAGTCCAAGAGACATATTCGGTTTGAAGAGTTTTGGGCAAGTGGTGGAGACGTGGAGAGGCAAGTCGGACGAGCGAGGGATGGTGCTTCTCGAGGTAGGCGTTGAGTGAATTCGGGATGGTAGCGCTTGTGAGGAGGAGATTGAAAGGGTAATTGGTGGGTTCAGGTGTCGTGTGCGTCGAGGAGGGTGATCGGAGAGACGATGCGGAGACCAGAGGTACGGGTGCACCGCGGGCTTCGCTAATGTCGGCGAGCAGAGTGCGAGTTGTCTCCTGGAAGTCCGGGTCTAAAGGAGTCAAGAATTAGCAGAAGAAGAAAAAAAATGCAGACAGAAGTCGGCACGCACCAAAGAGAACATCGGCTTCATCAACCACGACCCACTCAACGTTCGCCAGCCCAAGTTCGGGTTTGCTCCTCCATTTCCCAATCCCAGGCATCTTGTCTCGCCCACGGCGAAGTTTCTTCTGATTTTCTTCGTTCTCCCCGATATCTTCCTCTCCTTCTTGGCCCTCCCTCCTGTCCCAGCCTCGTCCGCGCACCATCTCCAACACCTTCATTGGCGTCCCCACTAGCAAATCCACTGGATGACTCGATTTCGACACCTGAAATTCGCCCGTTGAGCCTTCGACGTCCTGGAACATGGAGGCCATCTTGCTCGACGTGGCATCCTTCTGCCCCTTCGTGTTCTTCACGTTCGACTGGCTTGCACACACCACTCTCAACTTCGTCTCGTGCAGCAGCGACTTCGCGAAACCTGACAGCTGTCGTGACAGTTCGTGCGTTGGTGCAAGGATGAGTCCACGAGGGTTGTACGGTCGCGTCGAGGAGGTTGGAGGTTGATCTTTTGACAACAGTTCGGCGAGCTTGATGTTTTGCAAGACAGGAAGCAGGTAGGCGATAGACTTTCCTGAGCCTGTCTCTGCTGCGAGCAAAACCTGCCGCCAGCCAGCAGCGTCATCTGACTCGAGAAGCCACTTCATGCTGAGAGACTGAATGGGGGTGGGTTTTGTGTCCGGACCGAGCATTTCCTTCAGCGACGAAACAAATCCGGGAAGAAGAGGTGGCGAGGTGAACGAAGTTGGGAGTTCGCGTTCAGAAACAAGGGCTTTTGACTTGCCTTTGCTGGAAGAAGAGGTCGAAATAGGGCTAGGAGGGTGGTAGAATTCGCCAGAGTCTTGCATTTCTTCGTAATTCTTGTTGGAACGAGCGTCTGAGCGGTGGTCCCGACTGGTTGATGGAAACAATGGCCGCGCCGTGCTGCCTTGGATGGCCTCTGAATGCACGTTTGGAGCGGTATGTCGTCGCCTCTCATCCCCGACCCTCGCAATCCGACTGCTGGGCACATCCTTGTTGTTACGAGGTGATTGCCCAGACTCCCTTGCCCTCAGAACTACAGGTCGACGACCCCGCTGCACAACAGGACTCATTCCTTTATGAGGGGCATCGTCGCGCGTAAACGAAGCTCGGGAAGCAACTTCAATCGTCCCCGACTTTTTGCTTTTCGGAGAGAGACTTTGTGCAAGTGTTGTCGCTGGTGAGTGGGTGAGTTTTCACGTCAGCTAAACGAAGTGGTCACTGACCGAACTTCGCATTCAAATACGTAGATGTGTGAAATAATTCCGTTCTACATGCTTTTCCAGTTGGATTTTTCGGTATTCGGCAGAGCATAAGTGAAGAAATGAATAGTTCCTGGTAGCAGGAGGTGGTTCGATCTTTCCTTACGTTCTCAAACCCCAAAAAGGACAAGATGTGTGGCAACGGCTTCCCATGAAAACAAGGTTTACCCCAGTCTGACAGAGCTTTTGACGTTCTTCGACATCCAAAACTCAAAAACCATCCCCCGAGTCTAGATCGCTGAAATGGGGCAGCCAGATCGCGCCAAAATGGCTCAAGACATGGCTGCTGCCGCCCGTCAAGTTTTTGGGCCCGACCTTGTCGTTGAAACAACCCCAACTGGTGTTCGCTTTCCGATGGGTTTAGGAATGGGTTCAGGAAAACCACGAACGAGAAGACCAGGACAGGGTTTCGTCGACGACTATCTAAAAAACCCCACGGAAGGAGACGCGTTCCTCCCAAATGCCACCAACGACTCGTTCTCGAGGTCGACACAGGCAGGTCTTCTGCGAGACAGAGCCGACGAACTCGTGAAAGCAAAAGACTACGGTAATGCGGTCAAAATGTATCTTTCGGCAGCAGAAAAACTCTGTCAGGCCTCTTTACCGACGCGACGAGTGCGCTCGAAGATTTACATGGATCTCGAGCTCGAATGGGACGCCCAAGACGTCATGGGCTGCCTCACTGAAGCCGGGGCTACTCTAGTGAAAATGGGCAAGTACGCAGAGGTGAGTCCTGTTCCATCTCGGCGTTTCGGTATCTCAGATTTCTAGGCCCTCTTTTGGCTCTGCGAAGCACTGGACACCCATAGAAATATGCGTTTCGTCACGCTCAAGGACAAAGTGGCTTTCGGTGAGTCGATGGATCCATCTTTCTCGCCGCCAGCTCATGTTCTTCAGATTGGTTCAACTCGCACGTCGGCACCAAGCAGCACTTCAAGCAGGTCTACACCACATACGACGCGATCGCCGAAGCTTATCTCAAGCTAGGAAACACCGGGGGTGCGACGTACTACCAGTGGCAAGCGAGCGTCAACTCGGAACCGGACAACATCCCCGCCGAGTTCCGGCCTGACGACCTTTCCGAGTTCAAGCGCGAGGGCCAGAAGAAGGTCCAGAAGGTGCTGACGCATCGCCACCCGGACCCCAAGTTGGCTGCGAGGCTTGAGATTGTGGATCCCAAATCTCAGGTACAGGGATCGTGGCGACGCGTCGAGATCAAGAATTCTGGCGCCTATTACGTCGCGTATGGGCGCCGCCGTGTTCGTGCATAAAGGTATGCCGTTAGTCCTTAGTCGAGCATCGGCTGATGGACGACAGGCTACCTCTAAGTCGCCGGAGGTGAAAAGTACCAGGATGGTCCTTACTACCGCGACTTTTGCCGGCTGAAGCTATCCAAGCCCGTCAAGTGGGAGGTGCTGCCCTCTGTTCCCATCCCCTCGAGTCGCTTGGTGTCGCTCACGACGTTTCGCATGGTGGTCGATTCGAATGACATCGCGTACTACTTCACTGGCTGTCTTGATCTATTCGCATACAACATCAAAACCCGCAAATGGGGCACGTTCCGGACGTCTTCGCATCCCTCTTGGACATATCCTCACAAGCAGATGCACGACCAGTGGCAGGACTCGGTAGTTCACTGCGTCAACGATAAGATTTACGTCTTTGGTGGAACGACTGGTGCTTCTAAGCTAGGCACTAATCTACTTCTCCAACTCAACCTCTCGACGCGCGTTTGGCGCAAACTCAGCGGCGAGCTTTTGCCAAAGGAGCCCTCTCATCTCTGTCCTGGTCCAAGGATCAACGCCTCCAGCTGGGTCTCGAAAGGGCAAGACAAAATATTCATCTTGTATGGTGACGCTAATCGAATGTCGGCGAAGCTGTCAGGACAGGAGCACGGTGCGATGACTACCTACGCGTACGACGACCTCTGGAGCTGGGATATTCGCGAGGAGCGCTGGACGAGGGAGAAAATCATCGGGAATGCGCCGTCGCCGCGTACGGAGATGGCCGCGGTGTACAACCCGGTCCTCGATAAGGTCTTCACGTTCGGCGGATACTCTCCCGTCGTTCCGACGGTCCATGTGGACAACAACAACGAGTGGTTCGGGTACTCGTACTATGCTGATACCTTCGTCTGCGATTTCCACCCGGAGAGCGCGTTCGTGGACAAGCAAAAGCCTGCTGCTGGTGGCTCCGTCTCGTCTGGTCGTCGACGACGAGGTGTGCCTGGGCACGGTAAGTCGGGAACCCGCGCGTCAGGACCTGACGCCAGCTCGCGGGGAATTGGTCTGGGGGGTACATCAACACCGAGTTCGTGCCGTCCCGCACGAAGAGCTTCTCGCGGAGCTTTGCTGACTTGTGGGAGCTGCGCCTGGATATTCTCTCGAAGAAGAGGCACGTACGGCTCGCGCGGGACCTTGGCAGCGGTGCTTCGCTTGTGGCTCGGCTGGTCCATGGAAGAAGTGTGGTGGCTCATGTGGTGGACGCGTGTTCTTCTGTGGGTCAGATTGCCTGAAGGATGGCTGGAAGGAGCATAAGCAAAACCATAATTGCAGGAAGGTATGAGTCAACCTCGAAATCGGCTTCGACGTCCTAAACGTTATTTATTGAATGAGGAAGCTAAGGTGTTACATACTGTATAAATATTGTGTTACTGCGCTGCATATTGGGAGACTTTATGTAAATAAGACGGTTTACGGCTATTTCTGACAGGTATTTCTTGCTTTATCTCTCAGCTCATCTTGGACTGTATGCTGTCATCCTAGATCCTATCGTTGACTCCCAACGCTGCTCCGTCTTCAACTCTAAATATTGCTTCGCGGTCGCGGGCCATCTCGGTTATTGCGCGACTACATGACTTGGTGCGTTTCTAGCTTTCGAATCGCTTGCCTGCTTGCTCAAATCTATTTTTAAAACAAAATTTCCTATATACTCACCCCTAACATTTCCTCTCTTCTTCGCTCCTTGCCTAAACTCTCGTCTTAGTACTGGGTCTACCATTATATGCTTTCTATTAACGCACAATGTACTGCACCTTAGTCCTCAAGTGGAGGCTCGATTGCCCCCTTCCTCGACCTACTTCTCTCAGATTACCGGCTCTTTAACATCGGTCGCAATCAATAATCCCCAGCCATCCCATTTCCTTATGCAACTAGAACGACTCAACGACATCGAGCATATGTACCATTTCGTTCAAGTCGACTCTAGAGAGGACGGAGACTCTCGCTTAGTGTGTATGGTGAGCACAAGTATTGGCTAGTGGTCGACATAGTAGAATGACCGCCTCTGTGGAAACGTATTCGGTATTACTTCTCAGGTAGCTTGCTTAGAACCACCAGCACGGGACTACAGTAAAGCCGTTGAACTTCCATGCCGCTAGGGTATTACCGCTTACGCTCTTGCTGGGAAAGCCTGGGATGCACGAAGATCCGACGCCTTTGGTTATCCGCTGACCCAGTCTACCTCTCTGAATACTATAAAGCTGGTGCGAAGCTGGATGCGAGTGCACAGAGCCAAGACCCAACTGGATTGCCTCTGAATCTCTCTGAATCGCCTCTCAATAAGACCCCTCACTGGCACAACGTGCAAGCACCAATGAAGCCTACCTCTTCCATCACCCTCCTAGCCGTCTTTCTGACGTCGGCGGCGGCTGTTGCCTTCCCCAGCGCGGAGCATGCTCTCGAAAGTGCGGGGTATCTACTGATTGTCCCCATCTCTGATGTCGCGCAACTTTCCTAGGTGGCTGCCTCCCTCTTGGGGCCGCGTGCAATGGCCCGCTGCAATGCTGCGGCTTCCCAACGATTGGATGTTTTGGGCCCATAAGCTTCAACGGCCCGACATTCTGCAAGGTCGCAGGATCGTCTTAATTCAGAAATTGGTAGCATTATTGATGGTGTTGGTGAAGGAACGGCATGGTACAGGTAGTTCAGATGGAGTCAGCACGCGGCGTACATGCAGATAAATATGATACATAGATTATTCCTTAGATCAGAAAGGCCATAAATGGCTCTCAGTGCTCCCCAGAGCCGCGCAGGCTACGCAGTTAAAAGACGTACGGCCCCGTCGTCGCACTAGGAAATGGCCTCGCTCTTGCACTCATGCAAGTATGTACGTCCGAGTCGTTTGATAGTTTGTCTGTTGTTGCCAGTTCATACTGACATAACCTTCTCGTTCCCCATTTGTTTTTGTTCCTCGTTGTGGACTCGTCGAATCGCTACGTTACCCTTTGGTGGCCCGCGTCCGACCTCGACTCTGTAGGTCGGACAGGTGGTCTAGCCTTTTCCGGTCTGACTCGGGCGCTTATCCAACGCTTGTCTTCGAGGCGTCGACCAATGATCCTGGGTCAAATCTTCTAGAATTAACAGCTTCAAGGACCCACGATGCTGAAATATAGTATTTTATCATGATCAACAAGTAGGCGTCTGTGCATTCACACTCTGAATCTGCCGTCGAACGTAGGATACGAAAGCGGGTTGTGTCGACTGAAGGAAACAGAGTTGGACGGAAAAGAGACAATGTTGGATAGTCGACTGTTATTTTCCTGTCATTATACGAGACAGTTTATCTGTAGAGAGGGGTCGTCGCGACTCGTGTCGTGCTTGGCGTTGAAGATTTTTCGAGACGATTTCCCGGAACCTGACCTGTAATTGGAACTTAATCCAAATTTGAACGCCACGATGGCTCTTCCGTGTGCCCCTTGGCTTCTGAATAATGTCACATGGAAAGCTTCCAAATGAGTTCCTGACCTGAACGCTGGTGAGGGGGATGTTTAGCCGATATCTAAAAATAGCGGAAAGCCGGTAGCATTTTTAGTTGGTCGCGACTGTTATTTATTTCGCGACTTGATAAGATAGATTAGAGCGGGATGAGGCGCCATTCTTCCTCTTCTCGTTTGTGCATTATTCCTCAAATATTCGAACCCAGCTGAGAGCTCAAGAAATAGTGGTCTTAACATTCGACACAGGTCTTGCGAGTAGACTCGATTGCCTACAATGTCGCAACGAGGAACCGATCCGGTCATAATCAAGAGTCACTACCCACTCCGCTCCTGAGCTCCGGCTCAATCGTGCAGTGGCTTCCATTTTTTAAGGGGCCGCCAGCACGCAGTGCGCGCGACATACATAGATAAGGCGCGAGTCCGGCGGCCATTATGTTTTCTCTCCCCCGCCCTTCTCCTTCACTCGCGAACATGGACAGCTCGGCAGCTGCGCTGCTGATTGAGAGGCTACGGTCCACGACAATGGTAAATGTGCGTCTCTCCTTTTCCTATGTCTATAGCGCCTGGTTGGACTTCGGGATTCCGGTTAGATGTTCGACGGTGGGTCGCGTGATTACCTCGTCAGTCTCTGAGGCTCAGGATTGACTATTGGCGATTTAAAAGTGGCCGCTTGCGCAATGTTCGCTTGGGATTACTGCCTTACGATGGGGATGGAGATAGAATACGTCTGGCCCGGAAAATGGAACACGTTGAAGATCATCTATCTCGTCCAACGGTATATGCCTTTCATCGACACGTTCTATTTGGTCCTTTGGGGTGGGTTTTCTGACATCTCTAGAGCTCCTGACATTTAACTTACCTCTGTCCCTCCAGGCCAATTTGGGAGTAGCCTGAGCCCTTCGACGTGCCATAGAATAAATAATTGGGTTCGAGCGCTGACGTTGGTTGGTTTGGCGTCCTCTGAGAGTGCGTCTCCCTCCTTCTCCGACTCTAACAGAAGATCGTTGAATTATCGTAGTGATCCTCACGCTAAGAGCGTGGGCTGTCTGGAATCGCAACAAGGCTCTATCCATATTTCTCCCCATCGCCTTCGCCGCATGCTGGATTCCTCAAATAATTCTAACCGTTCGATTTGTGAACTCTCTGGGTTGTGAGTTCTATTTTTCATGGACATGGTTTCATTTCATCTGAAACAATTGGTTAGTCATCGATGCTCCCTCTCCTTTTCTGGGTTGCTTCATTGTCAAGGCGAACGACGACATAGTTTTTAACTGGGCTCTATTCATGCTATGGGACAGTCGTACGTGAATCTACGCATCGTTTGCGAACCCTATAATTTAACCTGAACCATCCGTGTAGTTGTCTTAATTCTTATGATAATACCGGCACTGAAAGCCTGTACGTTTGCTCTCCCCCTTTATGTGAGAGGGGAGCTCACATATTCTAGACCACTTCCGCGGCCATTCTGCACTGTATAGTACAGTTTATGCTGAAGGTATGCTCATCTCAAACTTTTCCTTGACCTCGACGTCCTCATGCTGTGCCTAGGGATCATGTATTATGTCTACCTTTTCTGTGGGTCCCTTCGCATGATCAATTAGAGCACAGTCGGCCTGACCCTTTTTGAAGTCCTCTCGCTTGCCAACATCATCCTCATTCGCCTTAAATCTGTGAGTCTTACATTCATGCCCGGACGTTCTCTTTTTTCTAAAAATGATAATCCGGCGCATAGATTGATGTTGGCTATCGGCTTGTGATGGTCACGCAAGTCCATTTCTTCGGTGGTATTGTTCTCGCACTAAATCAATTCAACTTCCAGGATGGAACGCTGTCTTCACTCTATGCTCACTAGCCGCGCGCTACTCCACATTCGCGTGCGCATCAACGAGGTTAGCCACATCGAAAAGGACGTCAATACTTCGGACAATGTCGTCTTCAAGCACTCCCTTACCACGCGGAGTAATAACCGAGGGTTGTAGATTGCAACCCTCAGAGCGTATAAACTGTTAAAGGAGCGCACTATGATGTAAGTATACCCTCTAATGGACGGAATCAGATTACTCGTTTGACAAATTGTCACAAGAGTTTCGTGCCAGCGCTTCTTTTCAACAATTCCTCAGGCCTTCCGCCGCAGTTCTCGTGGTCGGGCACCTGTTGGGTATAAGAGCCAAAATATCGCCCGTTCAGGTGTTCGGATGGTTCAACATCGCGTCAGTGTGGTCATTCGGTCAGTACATAGATTGAAAGAGGGGTGGAACATTCCTTGTTCTGATTGGCCTCGCGTTCTCGCTTTAATCTAGTGATCCATCAAAGTGTCGGTGGTCCTCTTGCACTTCCTTCTCTTCTCCTTTATGCAGTCTGCTATCGTCGGCGAGACTGAGTTCCTCGTTAGACATGTTCTAGACTTCGTTGTCGTGATAAACATGAAGAACTCACAATATTCAGTTGACGACGATTTGAAAGACCGAGCTGTCCGTGAGGACGGCATAACCGGTCCGGAATCCCTATCGTGAGAACATCCTGCTTATGTCGGATGGAATTTGGAACTCCGCCCTTCTGTCTCCAACCACCACGACGCGTCCTCCCTAAGTGACAGTGCCTCTCTTGAGAGCAGGGCTTACTTGAAAGTCGTTTTCAGGCTCAAGAAGCTATACATAGGCTCTCTTTTTATTTTGTCTGCCGATTGGGATCTTGGAAATGGCCTCGTTCTTGCGCTCATACAAGTATGTACGTCGTTTGATAGTTTATCTGTTGTTGCCAGTTCGTACTGACAGAACCTCAATGTTTTCTTCATCTTTGCTCATGGTCAACTTGAAACTTCCTCGATTTAATCACCGCGATGAACTGCACGGTCCACATGCAACGTCGAATCTTTGATTTTTGAACATCCAGTGCGCTCCTCCTTCGACGGCCGATGGCGACCCAGTGCGTGACGGCGGCAGTCCTGTTCGGTGCGGGAGACGTGGTGGCCCAGCAGGTAGTGGAGGGGAAGGGGAAGAACCATGATGTGAGTACTTTCTTTTTGAACAATTCCTTTGGGCTTCTGGAGGCGGGTTTGGTATGAAGGAGCGATCGACGGAATGTAGGGATGAGGTTGGGAAAGCGAGGTTTCGGTATATCGATGCCAAGTATGTCCTCTGGATGGAGCCTCTGGATGTAGCGATGGAGCTATGGAGAGAAAAATGAGATGTTGCAGCCCATGTGAGAGAAGTGGAGGGGGCGGAGATAAGCCCGTCGCACACGCCCTCTTGTGTCTACGCTCCAGGGCAGGGCCATTCGTGGCCATGTTTCGATTTCTTCTATTGTTTTCTATCCACAAGCAGCTGTAGCTGATAAGTTGACGCGTTTCTCCAGCTCGCTCGGACGGCGCGATTGACGTTCTACGGAGGTGAGCGTTCGCCTGCTCATCTGTTGTACGTCAAGCTGATCATTTCTGTATAGGTGCTCTGTTCGGCCCAGCTATGACGAAATGGTACCAATTCCTCAACAGGATCAAGTTCCCTAGTCCGACTAAGGCGTTGATGTACCGAGTGCGTTCAATTGTGCCCGCCCTCGTTCTCTCCTAAAATTTTCTCGATATTGAACAGGTGTGGCTAGACCAAGCGATCCTAACACCAGGTCCGCCCTTCTCTTCTCGTCCACAAAGCGAAATGAAGTCATTTAATGGCTTGGCTATCGTGTAGTTGCTGTTGCCTTCTTCTATGGCTCTATGAGCGTGCTAGAAGGGAAGCCCAACGAGGCGGTTGATCGTGTCAAGGCGGTACGTTATGCGTTTAGTCCCTTATCCCATTCTTCTGTTCTTCTCGTTCCTTGATGTGTTAATTGATAAATGCTGTCGTCCAGGCGTACGTACCGACGCTCATTCGTAACTGGTATGTATCTCATTATCTTAGACGTGAAGACGACCCATGAATCTGATGGATCCTTCGTGATATGTAGGGGTGTATATATCCCGACTCAGCTCATCAACTTCTCAATTATACCACCACATCTGCGATTTGTGACCGTCAGCATCGTCAGTTTGTTCTGGAGTGAGTGTTTCTGTTCTACACTGTCATGTCGAGCTATTTGAGAGTTCATTTTGCTTACTGGTGGATCGATTCCCGCAGATACGTACCTAAGCGCGTCGAACGCGAGCCACGAGAAGGCACAGAGGGAGGCGGCGGAACAAGCTGGTCTGGCGACGGTGGAGAAGCTACAGACCGTTGACTAATCGCCGTCATTAATGTCACCGCCGTCTTACTGTCCATTCGTCGCGATGAGTCGCGATGTCGACATCGCGAGGCCGGTGCGCCCATGCGTTGAGACGCCGACGTCCGCACCGGCCTTCGTTCACTTGTTGACGCATATGTCCTCCATCTATGGCTTTCTGACTGACATGGACGGGAATGGAACAGAGATATGTAGCTGTCGTCTATTGATACGGGTTCAGCAACTCTCTGTATGTGGCGCCGCACTCCGATTGTGGATCGATACACTGCTTTCTGATCCTCTTTTCGATCTTCATCCGCGTCACCAACGTTTATTTTTGTTCTGACAGCATGGTCCATCTTTCGCGCCCAGTTTCTTCAATTGTGACTTGGAGCTGGGGCGATGTACCTGTGCAACTTACGCCCACAGCTGCCCAAACCGAATGATGTCCACATGAGCATGTCCGTCGTATTGTGTCGATCTGGTGTCGATCTTGTCAGACCGAGGTGCCTGCTGGCTAGACTTTCGTACAGTATCCATACTACTTGCAAGCTTGATCAATTGATTGAACAACGAAGATTTGACTGAAATAAACTATGTTCCGCATGTCCGAGAACCAGGTGCTATGGATTCGAGGACAACGAATTATATATCTGTGGTCGTCTGCCGACCTGCGTTCTTTTCTCCTCCCCCCTCTCTCCAATCTGTCCAATTTCAAGGTCTAGGCGGAATCTCGGGCCGGCCCGATACATCCGCATCAGAACGCTCCCTTGCCGAAGGCAACCCCACACGCGCCGCGCGCTTGAGAAGCGGACCACGCATTTTACCTGATTTTACTCCTTCGACTCGAACCACATCATTGCCGGGGCCGTGCGCAAGTCACCGCCTACGCCGCCACAAACGACGACGACGACGACGACGCCGACGGAAGAATTTTCAGAGCAGCGCCACCGTGCCCCACATCTTGAACTTCGATCAGGACATTTGCACCCGCGAACACGACCGCCTTTGTTGGCGCAAGGATCGATACGTCACAGCTTTTTTGCAGCTCCACGACGACGGACGACGAATCCGTTGGATATCTTGCATTGAAGACTTCGACGGCACGGCCTCTGCTTTTGTGTCGATAGGTTTTTTGGTTTGCTCAACGACCAGCGGACGATTCATCTCATTTTCGTGATAACTGCAGGTTCTATACCAGCTTTTTGCGGGTGATTTCTGGGCTTACGACACCGAAGTCCTCGTTTTCGAGGGCCGTGGCTTCTCCTTTTCCATCTCACTCATTCAAGTCCTTTCCGCCGACACCACTTTCCTTCAGGTTTTACGTCTTACTCCGCTCTCTTCCCCGTCGCACCCCTACGACACCCCAGGTCATCGCAAACGGATTTTGCACGTCCAAGGACTGCGCATCCACCCAAGCTTTGCTTTCGAGTTAACCTTCGAAGCGGACCGAAGGCCTTCTTTCTCCCAGGACGCCCAGTACAGAACCACCCACAACTCCTTTTGGGCTTTCTCGAGCACCTCCAGAGTGCGCTTCTTCCTTTCACTTTCCCATCGCCATCCCCCACCCCGCAGCTCCTCTTGTCATTTCACACCCCACACTCTACGTCGTCATTAACCTCCTCCGGCGCCTCGCTCTATTCGCGCTGTCACAGATTTTTGACAGTGTACATACTTCAAGACTGGGTTCGATTGCGGTTGCACCCACGTCGACACCCACACCGACCGAGTTTCGACCTCCAACCTTCAACTTTGATAGACGGATAGTTTGCTCATTCAGAACTCCGCTGGCCCGACCCACATACCCTCATTGAGGTAAGAATCACTTGTCCGAAGTATATCAATGCACCGGTGGCGCGTTATATCCCTTTCTTTCCTTTCGCCCTTTCCCTTCTATCTGGTCTCTCTCCCCTCCTTTACCCCCTCTGTATTCCATGCGATCTTTCTGACCCACTCCTTCTCACAGACCGACTTACGATACAACATGCCTCGAATGAACCTCTATTCACGCCTTGGCGTGCCTACCACCTTCGACGCCGCTCACAAACACGTTACATCGCCCTTTATACGCTCGCCTATCATTTTTGCCGCCGTTAGGCTACTGATAGCCTTTTATATGCTTACCACATTGCTGGTGACGCTGATATGGCAGTCCGTGAAGGAGGATCGGGGGTCAAGGCATGTTTTGCGTTTCTTTCCGGTTTTCCTCACGCCTCTATGTGTGGAGAGGGAGGTTTCATCATGCTTGTGGCCTTCTCTGCTTCTTTCCCGTCATCAGGGGCCCCGGGTCCATTCCCGAACGACGTCTGTTCCGGCTAGGTTGGCTTGCGAGAGCGTTTTTGCCTGCGCCTTCTATCACCTCTTCGATGACGTCATCTCCTCTGCCCCAGTTAACCTCTCTACCTCTTTAACGCTTAACCCCGGTCTAACACACCTTCCTCTCGCGACAGTTACTTCTCGTACTTCACGTACCTAACCTTTATCGGTCTCTGTGCGCACTACTTCGCCGCAGGAACGCAAACATTCTTCCATGCACTCGCATGGCGGAAATTAGGTGCAGGGGCAGGTTATCCGCTCCAGAGATGGCCGAGGGCGCTGCAGGCGATGCATGTCGTACTGCAAGCTACTGTTGTTACTTTCCGTGAGTTGCATAATTTAATGAGGGAAGATAAGGCTGATGGCATGATATATCATAGCGATCGTTGTGACTGTTGTGTTTTGGGCACTTCTTTCGAACGCCTCAACTTTTGAGACGAGCTTTTCTGGTGGGTTCTTTCATCCCTATTCTTTCCTTTGCATCTATCGACTGAGCCATCATTTCCGGCTTCCCTCTCTAGCATGGTCAAACATTTCCGTACATGCGCTCAATACTGTCTTTTCCCTCGTCGAAATCCTACTAACGAACTCACCACCCGCACCGTGGCTAACACTACCTTTCTGTCTGTTGTTCCTCGGGGGATACCTCGGCGTCGCGTACATCACGCACGAGACGCAAGGATTCTACAGTACGTCGCTTTCCTCACCGCACTTCTCTCCCCCTACACTACGGCGACCGATACTCCGTACTAACGCCTTCTCCCAGCATATTCATTCCTCGACCCCAAAAGACAAGGGGCCAAACTCGCCGCATACATCATTGGCATCGCTGTGGGCGAGATCATCGTATTCTGTGCCATCCGCGGGCTCATCGTCCTGCGCGAGCGCTGGGCGGTGCGGACGCGGCGGGTGCTTGACGTGGGTGACGCAGAGGGCAGTACGGGCGGGCGCGAGAGCGAGGAGTGGGAAGAGGTCGTGGGTGTAAGCCCGGTTAGGGTGGTTAGTAGCGGGAAGGTTGCGGATGTGTAGCAAGGCTGAGAGATTGAGAGGGATTTTTGGATTTTTCGTTCGTTCGTTTATTCGTTGGGTTGGGTTATTGTGTACCCTACGTGAAGCAGTACCTCGCTACCTTCTTTGTCGCGCTGTTGTTGTACGCTTGTGCAGCTGTCATACCCTCATCGACACTGATTTCTCCAATGAATGCTTCCTACACTAGTACCACCGTTGTTGTGGGGGTCAGTGCCGTGACGTCCCTGTACTTGCAATGCTCTACACTCTGTCGTACGAACCACGAAAATGCAATCTAATGTGACAAAGTACGTCTACGTTCCACATACTGGGCTTATATGCTCGTAATTCCTGAGTGGAATTGCCCTCTTTGTTATCTTTACACCAACACCGCGTCCGAGAGGTCTAACGCAACTATCCCCGTGAATGTCCTCTTTGCTTATTTCTCTTCCCAGGAAACTTCGACCGTCCAGCCCCAGTATACTTAGGTGGCTACGTCCCGATTCCGGGCCGCTCTGTTGATGTTCGTGTTTGGAAGTTCCAAGAACTTTTGCGGTTCACACGAGCGCCCACAACAACCAGTTCAATGTTCTCTGTCCGAACCACCTGAATCTACTCACTTATCGGTTCTCTGACTATACCCTGCTCCCAATCACCGGTTATGTCTCTTGCCTTGTCCTCCGAAAGCGCAAACCGTTCTCAAGAAACCGAGGACGCTTTGAAATCTCGGAAGAGTCAGTGCAACTTCCTTCTCAATTTCAGGATAGCTGTCAGTCTGATGAACTTCCATACACAGGGATAGACGCTCTCTTAAAAGGCTACTACGTCCAGAGAGCAACCGAGGACTTTAGTAAGGACACCTCTGCGCGCGGCGTCTTGAGTCCAGAAACAATTAATGAGCTCAAGCAATGGATCGTCAAATGGGTTCTCTCTGATGACGACGAGTCTTATATCTTCTGGCTGTATGGTGAAGGAGATCCCGAGATAGCTCTTATCGGGCACTCCGCAATGCAGGAGCTGCAGCGACATCGAGAACATTTCGATACCACTGCGACTGTCGTTCTGTCGGACGAAGATTCTGGAGAAGAATTGCTGGGCTCCGAGCAGATCTTACCCACAATTGTGTATCAGCTCGCGATTGGGCTCCCCTCTTTCCGTGGATTCGTTCTAGATGCGTTTGACGGTGATCCCACCATCCTTTCTCGTTCCCCAGACCACCAAATGGACGAGTTGCTCATCAAGCCATTTTGCAAAGCAGCAGCCAAAGAGCCTAGCATGAAGAAAAACGTGATTTTTATTGCTGGTGTGGACGACAATACAAACATAGACGAGGACGATTTCTTGGGTAGCTTTCTTCCTCGTCTTCACCGTCTAGAGAGTGCTCTCCCTCGGCTCAAATTTATTTTCGTCGGCACGAAAAACCCATCTGCGCGGCACCTTTACGGTATACGCCAACCCGTCATGCGACAAATATCTCTGCATCATGGCCATCACTCAACCAAAGTGCAACGTGAAACGGACTCCTTTTTTGAGCGTCTGGTATCGGACTCCCTCACATCCGAGCAGGAAATTGCCAAACTGGCAACGAGAGCCGGAGGATTCAGTCAGTATAGGATTATCGTCGCGGGCTTCTATCAACGCGACCAGAACAAGAACGTCGTCAAGCGTTCAGAGAAATATTTGGCCTCCAACAGGACGATCCAACTAAACCAAAGTTACTCTCCGATCTCGACTCTTTATACCATCACATCTTAGAATTAGCTGAACAAGGGACCTACTTTCCTCCGGAAGACAGGCATGGACTGTCGTATCTGCTCAGGACACTCTTAACCATCCTTTTGCTTTCCGGCGGCGATATGCCGTTATCCCACCTCGCAAAGTTCTTGTTCATGGACGCTAGGTGGCTGCGCACACTCCTTATGCGTGGTCTATCACCTATTATTTTTCATTCTCCTCGTCAGCCAGTCAAAGACACATATGTCCGCATCGCACACCCTTCCCTTACCGATTTCCTTCAAGACAGAACGCGGTCAGGGAAATTTTATATCAACAGCGACGATGCCCTTCCTCAACTGCGCCCTGCTTTCTTGCTGAGGGGGCATTTATTGTCCCCGGACTGCTTCAGTATTTTCTGTTTCTTTGAAATAATTAGCATGTATTTGACGATCTATTCTTTTAGTGCAGGAGGTCATCTGCTATCGGAAAAGGTGCACCAACCCAACTCACCAAATCAAATTAAGGATAGACCCTCCCTTAACCTGGAGTGCAGCTAGTTTTGTCGATCTCGTGATCACTCCAAGTACACCGTACCATGAAACTGGGATTCTCTTCGAGGAAGTCGTCAAGTTCAGGATTGAGGATCTCCTCGAGCTGCAACTTGCCGCCTCCGAATCGCTGGCGGAACAGTGGGAGGCGCTCTGGAGAGGAACCATGATTTGGGCCGTGATTCCCGTGTTCTTGATGTTGCTGCCCAAAGATCGAGAAGAAAAGGTGATATATATCCTCCTCTTCTCCCTGAAAGTCGCTGATTTATCTGCCTGGCTAGAGGAGACATTCTGATGCTCTGGAGATGTTGATATCGAAAGAGATCAGAACTTATATCGACGGCGAATCACAGGGACTTAAACACCTCCTGGTATGCGCCCTATTTGAAACTGAACTGAGAATATCGGCACTTGACGATTTTGGTCGCCTGAAAGAGCAAATATTCCACCTCGAAGATTCGGAAGTCCTGATAGACCGAGGATCCCTTTGTTTGGGCCGCATCTTCCAGACCAAGGTCCAGGAGCCTTCCCCGAGTGTTCTCCTCCTCAAGGCACTTAAATCCGCTGGCTCTCCTCAGAACCGGTACTTCGCGGATACAGCGCGCGAATGCGTCAAGTGGTTATGTGAAGGAAGTGATCGCCCTCCGAGGCCTCCCCTGGCCGAGGACGAAGTCGAGCACGCGAGAGAATTATGTCTTGCGCTCATCAGCAGGATTCTGCCGAAGACCGCGCCGCAGGATTTTCTTTCTCAATATCTAGGCACACACCCATTACCAGAATTTCTGGGGGAGCTCTCCAAGGGGTCTCGCAAGGCAGGCAAAGCGGTGGAAAAATACTTAGAGGTAAGTGCCCTTCAGCAGATTCTCGCTGGGCTATCAACTGACGTGATCAACCTGGTCTGTATCAAATTCAGAAATGCAGAGCAACAGTTGATCCTCAAAAAACGCAGTCAATTTCATCCAAAGCAGAGACTACCACAGATTCTGCCTCATCCATTGTAGGTGTCTGAGATCTCTCTCGAGCAACCTCCCAATATTGACAACCATGTACCAGGGCTCCAGCAAGAAGGGCGAAGTAGCGCGCCGAACGACACCCTCGACGGGAGAGGGACCATCAACTTCGGTTGGTGTTCTCGGGACATCATCAGAGGACGTAGAAGGTCCTACAAATGAACCTGGTCCTCCAACGAATAATCTTGCGGTACGCTCACATCGCTATCCCTAGTAGTGATTCTGATCTACGATTACAAAAAAGGCAGCCCGACTTCAGCACCATTACACCGATAGGTCGAAACTGGGAAAGAAAAAAGAACGCTCTAAGTCTAAGCCGCTTCCGAAGGAGAAGACTAGCGAACAGGTAGCTGGGATTTCCAGGACAGTCCATGATGATGCGGATCCAACGAAAGAATCAGTTCTCCAAGTACATTCAATACATGCATCTTCCATTTATCTTCCGATTAATATTCACCTTCAGAAGCCTGAAGAAGATAAAGAACAAGGGCGAAGGGAACGAGGGGGGGAAGGCTTAAGTTGTACCTGCGGATGCTGCACTTGCATTATCAATTATAACATGTGTACAGTTTCATAGTCTTCCACACGGGAATGGAGGGCGACTACTTTGCAAGTACAGGGTGTCACAAGGCTCTCTATTCTAGACGGTCTGATGTCACGACCAAAGAAGTACATTACGCCACACAAGCCTTGCAGGCACGTAGCCAAAGATCTTGCTTTACTGATTATGTACATCACACAGCAGGGATAACCCCCTCGTTTTGTTGGAGATCGGACAGGACATTTGTAACTGACATACCGAATGCGTTGCGTCTTCAAGGAGTGAAGATTGAAAAGGCACTGCAGAATATTATTTTGGGGTCGACTTTCGTACTGAGCACTCGTTCGAGGATATGAAAAAAGAATAGATTGTAAGACACCGGGGCCGATTTACTCGGACTCGCCAGGGAGGATGGTTCCGCGACTGACAGCAGCGGCATGTCCGCGGGCGAGGTAGCCATAGGCAGCGAGGTACCTGAAGACTCGATCAGTACAGCGACAATAGAAACGGCGTCGCGAGAACACGTACTTGTCGAAGAAGGGCAAGATCTGGGTCGATCCAGGGGTGTTTCGCCAGTCCCTCATCAAGTCGCAGACAACAGCGAAGGAGGACAGAACGTGGACGCCAGCAGCACGCATGCGCTCGTTCGCGTCGTCTGCGGTACGCTTGCTCATCGCCCCCGATGCGTCGACGTTGGCGAATACGGTGTAGCCCTCCTGCACAAGCGAGAGCGCAAGGAAGGTGGTGCAGACCTGCATAAGGGAATCTTTGGGTTAGAATTTGATGAGGGAAGGATCGCACGTACGTCAGTGGTGATACCACCTATGATGACCTGCTTCTTTCCAGTCGCACGGACAGCCTTCCGGAAGTCCGCGCTGTCCCAAGCGTCCACCTCGCCATTGCGTTTGATGAAGGCAGCATCGGGGTGCATCTCGACAATCTCTTTTGGGAGGGGTCCGTTCGGGCCGGTCTCGGCGCTCGTGGTGAGGATCGTGGGCAGACCGAAGACTTTTCCAATGGCGGCGTGGGCGAGGACGTTGTTGCGATATTCATCAGGCTCAAAGTCGCGAACGAGCTGGAAGAGACCGATTTGGTGGTCAACCACCAGGAGGACCGCGTCGTCCTTGTTAATCCGAGTGTACGTGAAGTTTCCTTACCACTCGGTGAGCACGATGTAAGAAGCCAAAACTAATATGTGAGAGCGTACCAGCAGCGGAAACGACAGGTGCAAGAGCGGCAGCGAGGGCAGCGAGGGCGGTGGCGAAGTGAACCATGGCGATTGAGAGGTTGTTACTTAGAACAGTAGAAGTGAACAGGGAGCTGGTTCTGCTGGATAGCGAAGAACCGACTCCGTATTTATACCTTGCAAGCTCTACTGTTGCCACCCTTCTCCTGCGCCAATGCTGAAGGTTGATGCGCTACACCACGCGCAAAAAACCTGTACGGACGGGTATGAACGGCGACGTGCATCTGATGAGTGGACAATCGACACGACTGGATTACGCGAAAAGGAAACTGCCCGTGGGACGCCGCGAGAACCGGTAGGCAGCTTTAGGGATTAGCGCCACTGTCGTTGGTTCGCGAAGTCGCGTCGTTTGCCCAGAGAGAAATGTATTTCCTTTTCTGGGTTTGACGCGTTGCAAGGCGAAGAAACACGGAACCTGTGCGGCGTCAGCACGGGCAAGGAGTGATGTGTACCGCGAGAATCGGTGGAAAGGTTTTGGGAAGGGTGTTTCGGAGGAGCGTGCCCGGTGTCCAATCGAGAGGTCAATGACGGTCCATCAGGGAGAAATAATCCGAGAACGGTATTCATTGGACGAAGAGGCACCTAGCAACGTAGATTGGTGGAAGGAATACGGTTGGATTTGGTAGATCAATAAAGTGGGTCCACATCGTGCAAGTGCTTCACTGAGTAATCAAAGATACACCTCTGGTTTTACGATACAGTCGGGATACGACTGGACGCTCGTCAACACATCAGTACTTCGGTTCCGCCAGGGAGAAGAGGAAAGACTCACAGATAACAGGGTAGAAACCCCAAGTGTAGTGAATTCAGAAACGTTGGCGGGATGGTGTTTTCGGTCACATCAGCAAAGCTTAGCACGATCGACAAAGACGCAGGAGCGGCTCGGAAGACGCCTGACGAACGCCTATTGGCCTGAATGCAATCAGAATCCAGATAGCACGAGTACAGAACCGACGGAAACACTCATCAGATTTGCGGACCTATGACAGATGTTACGCCGTTCTTCGCCGGCCAAGCCTATGGGTATTCTCCTGCCTGGCAAACGGGATCGAGGGGCAATGAATGGCTGACTAAGACGCTGGAGTTCCGGAGCGGGCTCTCGCAAAGGCAGCGAGTGGGCGAAGACAGGGCCAGCAGTGTTGGTCGGCTCGGGTTGCAAATTATACGACCGTCATCTGGCCCGTTTCGCGCACGTCTCTTTCAGCGGTTATGGAGACATGGTTAGTGCCTCCTAAACGCAGCGTGGTAGAGACGGCAGGCCATCTGGTGATTGCTTAGTCTCGTCATCGCCGACTGACTGGGAAGTTCGAGGGCGTAAGGCGGTCGAATGGGGTACGTTCATTTTATTTGAAGTTACCGGCTGGCAAGAATGGTCTCTTGGGCCCGATAGCGCTTTCATCTTCTCGATGCCAGCGTACGTCAACTTGGGGTCAGATAGCAGGCAATTTGAAACTTGAAGCGAGGTTCACATCGTAATATCATTCTGCGGGTAGAGGAAGGGCGGATGTAAAGCTTTCAACAAAAGAGGACAAAGTTGCGCACTGTATATGACCTCTCCGCCCGCGCAGCATCGCAGATCTCGACCTCCAGCCACGATTTTTGTCGACTGCCCAACCTTGCGACTTCTGTCGTTCAGAATTTCCCTTCCAGGTAGCAGCCTTGCTCGGTTACTCGGCTCGCCAGACGAATCGTCAGAGTCCGCCGTCCCTAGCCTTGACGGTCCAAGTAGGTCCGATTGTGCAGCTTGCAGCATAGCCCCTCTTTCGAAAGCTTCTATAGAAAGCGGCTTGGAAAGGGCGCATGTCAGCACTCGAATTCTCGAGAAATGTTGGAGCACACGATTGGGCTTCGAGGTAGACACATAAGATGAGCAAAGTTGGACTTATGTTCTTTCAGATGGGTGAGTACATCGTAGATTCATTTGGATTTGGCCTCTTTGGGTGTATCCGGCTGTTCAATGAGCGGCTTCTCTTCCATCGCTCGCCACAACCGCATGTCCCGCTCTACGTCAGCGTTTATCTCCTCTAACCACACCTGCCAAGACACATGCATCCGGGTTATCACTAGAGAAAAGACAAAACATCGGTGTGACGCACCGCAAGACAAGAAACGTATTCTTTGCGCAAGGGCTCGCATCTATCACGAAACGCATATCCCTTCTTCAGATTGTATGCCAAGTGTGTTTCAATTGGAAGGTCGTCCGGGAATTCCTTGCTCCATGACTGAGTACAGGACTGAAAGCGGTGGAGTAGCTGCTCGCATTCGGAGAGGTCGGCCATGGCTAGAGACTAGTTGAACAGTTGACCAGTGACTAGTTGACTAGTGACTATAGTAATGCCTGTTCGGGTCAGCGTAAGCGAACTCGGCCGGCAAAGATATTCGGCAATTACCGGCACCTTTCTCATCTGCCCAATTTAGTTTCTGCGGCGTTGCCAACGGCCAGCAAACCTCCTCACGATTCCCATGGACGAAACGCCGACAGCGCAGTTCGATGCTTATGAAAATGACTTCAAGCATCTAATCTCAAGCATTTCGGACAAGCTCGAAGGAAGTGGCAAGAATCTACTCGGAGGTGCGTCTGCATGAATCGTTGCCGCATTTCACTGATGTTGCGCTTCCCAGAGCAGCGTAAAGCAGCCCTGCGGAAGGTGGAGATCGAACTTGATGAGGCGGACGACATCGTTGGTCTTCTTCACTCATTTTGCCTCGCCAAACCTCACCGAAGTTTAGGTATCGCAAATCGAACTCGAGCTGCAGGGGATTCCGCAGTCCGTGAAGGCACCCTACGTCAACCGTCTCAAGCAGGCGAAAGCGGACCTAACCAAGTACAAGAAACTCTCGAAGGAGCTGCATTCGCAAGCCGCACGCTCGGACCTCCTCGGACCATTCAAACCCGGGAGGGCAGACTCTGACGACCCGTATGGAGAGCGGAGTGACCGGGCAAGACTGCTGGCAGGGGCGGAAACTCTAAACGACGGGAGTCGCAGGATAGGAGATTCGACTCGAATCGCGTTGGAGACGGAGAACCATGGCGCCGATATCCTCTCGACGCTGCGAGGCCAGAGAGAGCAGATCGAGAACTCACGGAACATGGTGTGTAACTTCGCGCTTTTCTATCGAAACGTGCTGATTCTTGCTTTCTATAGCTCCAGAGTGCTGATGGCAGCATCGACCGAGCGTCTGGGACGCTCAAAGGGATGATCAGGCAGTATGTATTTCGTGCATCTTTCCTCCTCGCTCACTAATAGCTCGTCCTTCAGGATGTACAAGCAACGCTTCATCCTCAGTGGAATCGGCGTCTTCTTCGTCGTTCTTGTCTTGTTCGTTCTCTACTTCAAACTCGTGAGGCATTGAAGACCGCTACTCGACTAATTTGGCAGACCAAACCTCTTTTTTTTCCCGTGAGGGTCTGGTCGTTTAATGTTTTCGGACACTCATAAGCCGGCTGCTCGTGCTTGTGCCACGTATTTGATTTATACCTGTCATTTGTACTTTAACTGTGATATCCTAGTGCATCTTCAATGTTCGTAAGCAAGGTGGTGAGAAGGGTTTGCGATTGCTTTACAGCTACTTCCCCTTGCAGGACGAGCTCCAAACGCGAAAGCTGTCGTACTCGGTCTCCTTCTGCACCGGGCTCACCAACCACGGTGGGCCATAGCCTATCGGAGGAGCGCAAGTGACCGGATATCAGCTGTTGTACGTCCGGTTCATTTTCAACTTCTGTCGTGAGACTAGGGGTCAATCTTGCAGGAGAAACGAACGAATAAGGGCGAGATTAGCCGGGCCAACTCCAAATGAAGGCCAAGCCGTATTGCTCATGCCTGGTGCTATGAAAGGGACGACACGGTTGTCTCTACGCAGTAGCATCGATGACATTGGTAGAGCTCCCACTCCGGATCCCGAAAAGCCTCCTCAAACTCATTTCGTAAGGAGGTAATGCAGGTACGGAGCCACAAGACATTCTTGAGTCCACTTGGTAGGACGCCCGACACTGTCAGGCGATGGCGGAAATTGTGTCGCGGTGGCCAGAGCTAGTTTGGACAGTAAATAAATATATGATTTAGTAGCTCTCTTCCAGTGTTACCCTTACGATTGATAAGACCGAGAAGTATTCTGTATAGCCGCCATCTGGGATATGGCTTGAATTAAAGAGGTAAGTTGGATATGGCATCGCAAGAATCACTTAGAAGCTCTCCAACCTGTCTCAAAGATATTATCAACGGTTAACCCAGGTAATAAATATAGTAATAAGGCATGTTTTCCTGCCAATCACTCAAATTTCTAGTGAACCGTACTTTGACCGTACTTCATCTGCTAAGCGCTAAACAATGTGACTGACTCGTCACGGCACCAATCATAGCAATTTATATTTAAGCGCCCAGATGCGAACAATTTTTCGCTGAGGTGAGTCTGAACTAGAGGTCATATACTCGCTGCGAGAGACTGTTTTTTTCGTGCTCTTAGCGTCAAGGACAGGCTTGGGACGCATTTTCACCCAGCTATTAATAGGCTACGATTCTTGTCGTTGCAAATCAACGGAGCCTCTGCCAAGCTTTCCTGTAAACGTGAAGACAATTCGCCTGGATAATAAAATTAAAATTTCCAAGAATGCCAGTCTATATGGAAGCCACCATACGTAGGATACCTGTTTCAATAACAAGCTACGGAGGTGTTGCGATTACTGTGCATGTGGCTGTGGAAATTGTTGGAGTATAACGGCGCCCATCTTGAATAATGGCCCATGGGGAAAGCGTGTATCAGAGCTTACATCGGCGTCGATCCATGCCAAGGAAACATGCGAACTTTGTGAGCTGTCAGGGCATCCAATGGGTTGAAACAGGTATCTCGTCGACCTTTCACGGGCCGCAGCAAAAGGTTGGACGAAGGCTTCATTCCGTCAAGGCCTGAAAATTCAGCACCTAGGTGCGCAGGTCGGCGTAAACGCGAGAGCCTCGCATGGGTGCGCAGTTGCCTGCCGCCTCGCTACAGCCACCGGATCGCCTCGACTTCCTCACCATTCGGATAGCCACCCGCGGTGAGTTTGCCAATCAACGAGAAGGTATTTCGTATCCTGGAAGCTCTATCACGCCAAGGATTTCCAAATCTGACGAGCTTGCAATGCCAAACGTCGGTTGAAGAAAAGTAGCGTCTTATTGGCCGTGTCCTTCGGTGGCTATTACGGGAACGAGGTACGCAGTAGCGTCGCATTCGCTCACTTCTCGGAACGCAGCCGGTGTGAGCGTAGGGGATTGTCCTCCGTGTGAGATCCATCCTTCTCTATAAAAGCTAAACTATTTGCGAGTATGTAGCCATCAACGTTTCAACACCCAGCACAGTGCGACATGAAATACTTCGCCCTTCTCCCGACCTTGGTTTTTGCGGCACGAGTCGTCGCATTTCCCTCCTACGCCTCGTTGGCCGGTCTTAGCGAGCGCGAATTGGATGCCATTCTTCCTACACTCGAGTTGCGAGAGCCAGCGTTGCCTCCCGGCCCTCTGAAAGACACCTCTGCCAAATTGGTGAACGACAAGGCGCACCCGTGGAAGCCACTTCGACGAGGTGACATCCGTGGACCTTGTCCTGGTCTTAATACGTTGGCATCCCATGGAGTGAGTGCAAGAACTATTTATCATCATCGTTTCACTGACATGCGCCGTTGCAGTACCTCCCAAGAAATGGCATTGCTACCCCAGCACAGATCATCAATGCGGTTCAGGAAGGTAAGGATCGAACATCTCATTCTTTTACCTCATCACCGACTTGTGTTAATAGGGTTCAACATGGAGAATGACCTCGCTATCTTCGTGACATATGCAGCACACCTCGTGGACGGCAACCTCATCACAGATTTGCTGAGCCTTGGACATAAGACGCCGCTTACGGGACCCGATCCTCCACCTCCAGCTATCGTCGGCGGGCTCAATACGCATGCGGTTTTCGAAGGTAAATTATAAGTATTTCGATTCATGGCACAGTCTCACAATCTCATTTAGGCGACGCTAGTATGACCAGAGGTACTTTTCTTTCTTTATGCCCAATTCCTGGACTTAATATCCTATAGGTGACGCATTCTTCGGCAACAACCATGACCTCAATGCAACGCTCTTCGATCAGGTACTGTTCTCCCCGGAGAGAAAATATTTCTGGAAAGACTAACAACTCTCAGTTCGTTGACTTTAGCAACCGATTCGGAGGAGGAAAGTACAATCTTACGGTCGCAGCCGAGCTCCGCTTCAAGCGGATTCAAGACTCAATTGCCACCAACCCCCAATTCGACTTTACTTCACCTCGATACTTTACCGCCTACGCTGAATCTGTCTTCCCAATCAACTTCTTCGTCGACGGACGCCGAAACGACGGGCAATTGGATATGGACGATGCGCGGGGATTTTTCCAGCTCAACCGTATGCCTGACAAGTTTTTCCGTCCGAACGGGACGAGGGGTACACAGGGTCTCGACGAAATTGCCATGGCTTATCCAATCCAACCAGGAGGCAATGTCGGCACAGTCAACAGCTACACCTTTGATCCCACCTCCGCCGATTTTGACACCTTCTGCCTCCTGTACGAGAACTTCGTCCAGCGAATCGTCAAGGGGCTCTACCCGAATCCGACTGGGAAACTCCTTACAGCGTTGAACATAAACCTTGATTTCTTCTTCCAGGGAATCCAGGGCTTGAGCGACGGCGAGTGTACTCAGGTCTTCCCGTACGGGCAGGACTGATCTGACAGAGACAAGAATGAAAGTTATTGGTAGACTACAGTAGTATAAACCGATAGTTTCCGTAGCTTTCCAGATACCCGCTCAACTAGCCTCCAGATTTATATACACTCCTTAAACATGCGTAGTTTCACGATCAGTCCTTTGCTGTTAATTCATCTTGTTGAATTCGTTTAGCGAAGTATCGTTCATTCGTCGAGTATCCTTGCCAATTCCAATCGAAAGATGTTAGCCTGCATCCTACGTACATCTTGATCGGCTCAAAGGAATGCGAGCCCAAGGCAAAAAGTAGACCCTCTTGATTTAAATATCCTCTTGGAGTGCCGGAACAACGGCCCGCTCCCTTGCAGTCTCATGAAACCTAAGTTCGAACGGCCTTGGTTTGTGAACCGTTCCGACGGATCCTGGTTAACTAGGTCTCCAACACACTAGCACACTAAAATAATGGGCAGAACGTGTCACAGGCCTGATAACTCCGGTTGCACCCTCTTCCTTAACATTCCGGAATTCAGCGGTGCGATAAGTATCAACGTCGTCAGCTCGCGTCATGGAGCCGGCCACAGATCTGGCAGTGGTTCATCGTCTTCTCTGAACTGACGGTCCACCTGATGACCGTCTTTGCCTAATTTGGCAAGCGGCTTACCAAAAGCGAGTGCCCCCAACTTGCAACTCTGGACGCTTGGTACTCATGCGACCTTTCCCCAAAGAAATGGGTCTTTGAGGATATATAAGCCCCAGGGCCCAACCCTCTACTGAACGTCTCTTTCCTCCATTTGCCCACCATCTCTGATATCACGTCAGTCTCTCTCTCGCTTTCACCCCCCGTCCTTCGTAGCCGCTGCGGGGTCTTTGCTGCGTCGCAGGGCTATACTTATTTCGCTCTGGATGTCCACTGACATCCTTCTGCGTTGGTCGCTTCTTAGTCTGACGCTCGTGAGTTTCCTCTTCGTGCCGAGCTGTGCATCCCTTGAGCTGGACGAAATTGACGAGTGGAATTTCTCAATGGCTCCTTGACAATTGATTGCTTTGGTTCCACAGATAAGAACTGCGATACTCGTAAATATTGTGCATGAGAGGTCGATTGGAAATGTTTGACCATTGCGCATCTCATCGATAGACAAGTGCGCAAAACGTGTTGTATATTGCGCGTCGCGAACGACTACACATCGGAAGAAGCCCAAGTGCGAACAACCTCCTACTTGAATTTGTCTTTCAGTAGACTAAAACATAAACCCATTATTACATACCTTATATTTCAAGCTTCCCGGCCTACGCCTTCGACACCCGACACGCACTGCTCGCCTTCACACCACCCAACTCGGACACAACCGTCAACGTCACGACCGCCTCACGCTGTGCATCCTTCTCCGCCCCAACAGCAACACTCACAATCTCTGTCTCGCCAAATCCAACCGCCTTCAGGGCGTTTGGCACCTCAATCCTCCACCCATTGCCCTTGACCTCCGCGCTGAGCCGGAAAACATCCGACACGACGTAGTCCTGGGCGCCTTCTTCATACGACCCAGTATTCTTCACCTCAAACGTGCACGTCACGCCCTTTCTTGTCGGCTTATTGTGCCTCAGATCCGTCACCAGCCCACGGCGGACCTCGACCCCATATGTCGCGACCCCCTCGGCATCAAGTGACCGCACGCCAACCGTGTACGAAAGCACACCCTCCTTGGACCGGTGGATGTCGAGTACGTAGAACTGCAGCCTGTTCGCCTCGTCGACGTACTCGAACTGGCTCCCCGACCGCGTGCCTGCGTGGAACAGCGCGTCCGCCAGCTGTCGGTAGTCCCCGATGGTGATGTACTGCTGCGTGCCGTCTGGGCGGATGAAGTCCACGAGCTCGATATCCTGCGGGTTGGCGTCAATGGTCCATTGGAAAGGCAGGCGGTCGCGCACTTTCGTCTTGGAGATCATGACGCCCGCGTCTGGCTGGAACGAGTCTGCGCCCATGCGGTCGACGACTTCGAGCTCGTAGTGGTCGTACGGCCCGCCGTCGCAGAACGGGGACGTCGTTGCGTTGCATGCTGGCGTCAGGTCGCCTGCGCCGTCGAGGGCGATGCGGATCCCGATGAGCCCTTTGTCGCCCGGGTCCACGGCACGGGCGATGATGTCTGCGACGACGACGACGCCTGATGCCGCGAGCTCCCCACGCGAGACCATCAAAACGCTCGAGTTGTCTGCGAGCCCGAGCTGGAGCTTGTCGCGGACTGTGTGCAGCGAACCCAAGCTGCTGCCCTGGACGGCGGGAACCTGCCATCGCGAGTGCGGACCGCCGGGGCCGTTGAAGCTGCCGCGGGACATCATGCTCCAGGGACCCGTGTACGCGCGCTGCTGAGGGTTGGAATACGGGTTGTTGTAGTTGTCGGCGATGCGGAGGAGGTGGGAGAGCTCGTGGGCGTAGACGCCCATGCCAGAGCTCTCGGCTTGTGTGGACGAGCCGCTGCCGGCATTGGGCCAGATGGTCGAGGCGGCGGCCCAAGACGTCCAGGGGACGTAGCGCGTACGGGCGT